TGTGGATGTACCTGCTGCTGCCACATTTTTTGTTGGAGTTGTGGCTGTTGGTCCTGCGGATATGCCTGTCGCTCTTGTTCCCACTGGAGACGCCGAGGCCTCTGGTATTCCGTGCAGTTATCAACCAGACTGTGCTGGCTCCCAGTCGTTCCCAATCGTTGCTCAAGAAGCATGGGAAGTGCGCTCTCTGTCTGAGTGAGCACAGCAACATCAGCTTGATCAAACGAAGGCTGTGGTGTGTTAGGCACTTCACGAGTCACGCGGGGGCAAGCAGGTTCTAGCGGCACAGTACTAGAGGGGTGATTCGACGAAGAAAACCTATCAAAACTCGTGTAAGTAGCGCCAAAAGGCTGTGTTTGAGAAAGTGTTGAAGGGGCTGGTTCGGTGCTGGGACCAGTGAGGGGGATGGGGGCTCTATGTGGAACATTTGGATGGCTCATGGCAGGAAGCAAGGTTACAGAGGGATGAGATTGTGTAGCAGCCTCAGGAGTAAAGATTGTAGCACCACCGGAAGGGCTGACTCTAGCAGGATGGGAAAGAGAAGCAGGAACGCTGGGTGTAACAGGTGCATTGGTTGTGAGAGGAGCGCAGGATGTAGCAGGAGGGCACGGTGCTGTAGCAGGAGAAGATGTTGCAGCAGGAAAATGACTCGAAGGATGAGTGAAGGTTAGAGCCGGAGGGGAAGGTGCAGGAGCAGGGGCACAGGTTGTAGCAGAAGCCGAACACGGGCAGGTTGTAGCAGATGCCGAACACGGGCAGGTTGTAGCAGATGCCGAACACGGGCAGGTTGTAGCAGATGCCGAACACGGGCAGGTTGTAGCAGATGCCGAACACGGGCAGGTTGTAGCAGATGCCGAACACGGGCAGGTTGTAGCAGATGCCGAACACGGGCCGGTTGTAGCAGATGCGGATGCAGCAAGCGATGCAGAACCGGGGGTCCAGGCTGTAGCAGCAGGGCCAGATGTAACCGGAGCGAGGGTTGTAGCAGAAGCGCGGGTCGCCGCAGCAGGGCAAGGAGAAGAGTAGCAAATGAGGTGGGTTGCAGAAGCATCGGGAAGCGGTGGCGGGTGGTTATGTGAGCCGTGGTAGACTGTTTTCACTACCACACGCATCTCAGTCCTTGGCTGCTCCACGCTTCGAGTCACCTCCTCCTCATTCAACACCCCCACTGCAGCTCCAGGGCCTCCCACCGTGGAACTCAATGCTATGGTAGCAGGACCGCCTCTGAATGTGGACTTCGAGACGGGTCCCACGCCGTGACGCCTTGGTGCAGCGATGCAGTTTGAGCGGCGTGGCCTGGGCTCTCCAGCCACGCGGTCTTCAATCTTCTTTGCCGTGCATCCTGTCGTTTGCTTGGACGCGCACACAAAGTAGAGCCTGCAGGCATTCAGGGGACATGATAGCAGCGGCAGTTTGGTACCAGTACTATTAGCAAAGTCATCAGCTCCCCATGCCATCAGGCAGCAACTAAGGAAGAACGCTGCTAGCTGCAGATACTGGTTATGATGAGAGGCGCTGCTAGTAAAGATCAAGAAGTAGCAGTTCTGCTTTTAGTGCAAAGAAATGTGAGTGAGTTGGAAGTAGCATTGCTATCTTTGACCTCCCTTCATCTGCCTTTTTGTGACAAGTTGTCACCAGAATATGAATGAAATTTTAGGGTAAGGTGAAAGAGATAAACATTCAGAATGTGGAACCCCATGCACCCGATTGTGAATCTGAACTTATATCTCAAAATATATTCTTCAGTTTAGTGAATAAGGAAGTGGGCAGATTCAAAAGGTCTCTAGGGTTAGACTGTGGCAGTGTCCATGTGTGTCCCTGGTCATTACGATATACCTGCAGAACAGGACAGGACGGCCTGCAGCCCAAGCCAGTGAAGGACTGCTTGTGGATCGCGTTGAGGGTGGCTTTACCTTTTCATTTGTTGACCCACTATGCGCTTGTGCGAAGTCTTTTTCCATTTGAACACCTCGTGCGGCGGAACTTGCTGCGGTTGATGAGCCGCCGATTGCATGTGATTCCGATGGTCCTGGCCTATGATCGCTGGCGTTGAACTAATTCCCGAAAAATACGGCTGCTTCTCCTGGGGTTTACTGGAATGGGTGGTCAAATGCATCATGGTGCTACCAGCAACTAAAACAGAAAGCGACTTCCCAAAACCAGGATCTGATTCTACTTGAAGAATGCGGTTTACAACCTCGGAGGTTCCCAAGCAAGTCGCAGTGCTATGTGCATGCTTTTGAGCATTACTGAAGTTTTCAGCCATCACTGAAGCAGTGCTTGGCTGTAAGCTCATATAATGTGCAAGGGTTGAAGGTTGGGTCACAAAAGATGGTGTTTGTGAGAGGATGGGGTGGGGATGCTTTTCCGATGATTTGGCGGAATGATTGGGAGGAGAGAGAGATGGAGGTGGGGGTTGGTTGTAACCAATCAGCAACCAGCCAGCAACACGATCACTGCGTACGCTGGGTTGCAATTGGATCGGATGGCAGCATGTTGGCGCACGAGGAACTGAAAAGGGTGGCATCGTGCCAGCAGGAGTGCAGAGGGATGGAATGGGCGAACGTGAGGTTACAACCCACGGTCCTCCGATATTCCCGCCATAAACGTTTGGCTGCTTGAGCTGGCTAGGGTGCTTGTGGTCACTCTTGGTTGGTCCAGAAGACGTGCGAAAAATATTCTGGTCCCGAAGTTATTTTTACGAAATCCTGCAAAAACAGGGTAATATAACATACTTACCCAGCTATTGCGGCTGTTACCCAATTTGAGTTGCTGCATCTTCTTCTGGCTGCGACATTCTTCCATACGTCGGGAATTTACGAAACTGACCCTTGAGATCAGGGAGCATCTCATCTTCAATCACACCAGCTTCCGCTAAGTGCAAATGGAAAAGAATATTCACAATACAGCTGGCAAACACAAAAACGTTTACAATTTGGCTAGAACCATTAACTACGTAGTACTTACAGTAGGACAAGAACACAACTGTCAATCCATGAGAGACAGTCCGACGAGACTAGATGTACACTTTGACAGGCGATTGGCGAAGGTACTGGATCAGTTCGAAATTGCCCCATGCTTTTCACGACTCGTTTCAGGGTCACGGCGCCGGTTCAAAATTGGGAGCAAAGGGATGTCAGGTGAATAACTAACGACGTGTTGCGACCCACCCGGGTCGGGTCGGGTCGGGTCGACCCGGTCGACCAGGGTTGACCCGACCCGACCCAGCCCCAAGGAGACTCGAGAAATCAAAGAATTTCCCGTTGCCTTCTTTGCAATTTCGAAGTAAAGGGAAAGCAAGTGCTCCGCAGGTGGAAGGTGGGCGAGGCAATGTTTGGCGATATTACCGGGTATCTTTTTTGTTAAACGAGATACAAGCGACATTTGCGCGAAAACCACAGATTTCGCAAAATCCGGTAACCTGCTCCAGCTCGGCTGATTTGGGTTTGGTCGGCCTGGTCGACCCGACCTGGTCGACCCGGATTGACCCGGGTCGACCCAACCTCGGTTGGGTTGGGTCGGGTCGACCTGGTCGGGTAGGTCGGTAGTGCGGGCTTCCTAGAAATTGGGGATCGGGGGGTGGTCGACCCGACCCGGGTGGGTCGCAACACGTCGTAAACTTTTCAAGTACTCGATATACAATAGTGAGGTTCCCCTACCAATAAGGCCTGACCGTTGATTTTTCACAAACGAATTTCCCTTCCTGCCTCATCATTTCACCCCAACAACACGTTGCCTCTGGCCCATTCAATATCTCATACACTCATTTCTCCTTTTTGGGTTGCGTAGCAACCTTATACATTCGTTTTCACTTTTCGGTTGACTGACGTGAACAGTAATTTTCCCCCATATATTTTGGAAGAACTCACTGTTCACATCAGTTTCACGAAATGTGAAACCAAATGTATGTAACCAATCATTCCATAGTCGTCGATAAATACGGCAAATGGAACAATTGGTTGTACCAAAGCAAAAAACGACAACACCCTAAGACACGCAAACAAGGACTAAACAGACACATTACACAATTACCACATACTAGAACATGTACAAAAACCACATAAAACAAGGGACAACAGTTGTGAATGCTTCGAAGCTAATGCTAGAATGCATCGTTGATGCAACTGCGATTGATCTGGTACGGAAGAGGCAAGCTAAGCTGCCCCACCAACGATCACAACCCCAATTGCATTAACAAGGCACTTAGCACTCACCTCGAAACAGACACACAAAACACTACGTACATATACGCACACACACATACAGGCTCACACACATACGCACACACACACGGACAAACACAGAAACATACAGCTATGTAATCAACATGCAAGAATATGAAGTTCAACTATGTATAAATCATTGCTAGCTTGTCCCCATTCCCCTCCTTCCCTTCCTGATCTCCCTTCTCCCACCACCCCCTCCCCCCCTCCTCCCCTCCACCCTCCTCGAATGCAGCTTGAAATCCCTGCACAGGAAAGAAAAAATCAGCAAATGCAACTCACACTCCCTGCACAAACAAAAACAAAGCAGAGAGTACACTTGCATGAGCTACACAAGAGAACAGAATCAGAGAATGAAGCTCACACGATGGACCAGAAACTGATGTCACAGATCCACGCCAGAATGCATGCAGCACCTCATAGCAATTCTTGCAACACATTCACTCATTCTCGAATTCAAACCCGCGCTCACCCTCTTGCACACGCTCGCAGGCATTCACAAACACTCGAATGCTTTGAACCGTTCTTAGAGACTTAGACACACTCACTGAGACACGCACAAACCCTCGCACTCAGCCTTGGATTCGCGCAAAATAAAACGAAGTAAAATAAAAAATGCCGTGACTGAATTCAGTGAGTTATGTAAGGCGCCAGCGCATCGCAACAAGGCGCCAGCACGCTGCAGTAGAAATAGTAAAGCATGATGAAAAGGGTTGTTACTAACAGTGCAGTAAATCGATAGAAGATGAATATTGAAGGCAAATCCAATTTGAAGTCTCACACGTGTGGCTTAAAACTCGAATCCAAGGCATCAAGAATAAAATATACCACATCAGCATGCACAGAAGGCATCATCTGCAGCAGAAAGGAAAGAGAGCAGAAGTGGTAGTGGAGAAGTTTTGGCACCAAGTTCACACATGGCGCCAGCGCGCATGGCGCCAGCGCGTTAGGCGCCAGCGCGCTAGGCGCCAGCGCGTATGGCGCCAGCGCACATGGCGCCAGCGCGAATGGCGCCAGCGCGCATGGCGCCAGCGCGCATGGCGTCAGCGCGCATGGCGCCAGCGCGCATGGCGCCAGCGCGCATGGCGCCAGCGCGCATGGCGCCAGCGCGTTAGGCGCCAGCGCGCATGGCGCCAGCGCGTTAGGCGCCAGCGCGCATGGCGCCAGCGCGCATGGCGCCAGCGCGTTAGGCGCCAGCGCGCATGGCGCCAGCGCGTTAGGCGCCAGCGCACTAGGACCAACCAGCAAAAATAAGTTACGGAAAAAAGTAGGAAAAAAATGAAACTTTGGAGGGAGTGGAGAGGAAAAAAGGTCCGGGAAATGAAAACGCACCTGAAACGACGGTGCCTCACAAAACGCGCGGTCGCGCAGCAGCCCGCGCTCGCGCTCGTGCACCCACCAGAGGCGACGGCGGGAAGGGATGGAGGGCGACGGCGAGGAGGAAGGGAGAGCGACGGAGGGGACCGAGGGAGAGGCTATGATGGGGAGGGAGGGAGACGCCACGGTGGGGAGTGAGGGAGAGGCGACGGTGGGGAGTGAGGAGAGGCGACGGTGGAGTGAGGAGAGGCGACTGGAAGAATAGTTGGTAGGGAGGGAGTCGTAATAGCAGGATGAGCGATGGTTGGTTTCTCGTTAGTAAAGAGAGCAGCGTAGAGCAGCGTGGAGCAGGTGCTTGGTGCAGGTGGGCCTAGGGGTGCGTGCCTAGCTTGGTTGGGATTGTGTAGCGCTGGCAAGAAAATTTTCTGCCAAAGCAAAACAAGGCGAGAAACTGTTTTCACAATGGGAGTACAGTACATTACGAGGACGATGGCACGAATTGCAAGCTACTCGGGCACATGACATTCCGAACAAAAAAAACACACAAAAACACACAAAATTTTGGATCATTATGTCACGTGACAACACGCGCACAAACACAATATCCAACTAGCTGACACGTATGGTTAGCTGCAAATAAGCAAACCCACTAAAACTATATGATAGTGCCATTTACACATAAACACCACTACAGAAATTAATGTGAGAAAAAAAATGACGAAGAACGAATTGAGGACGGGGCACCTCTAAGGACATTGCCAGGATCGAGGGGGATCGGGGCCTCATACCGGTTTAGGCGCATAGGTCGGCACACCGATGTGTCCACACTGCAAAATTGCAATCGCCTAGACACACCGAGCCACAGGTGACAGGATCGAAAATACCTGAGGCAAAAATTCCCGATCTCCACAATTCCCCGATCGATGTGTGGGCGCTGGCACATCGATCATGCGAGCCACAGGTGCTAGCATTTTGGGCACCAATTAACTGTACACTTGCGAGTCAGATACCAGCGTGCTGGCGATGTCGCGATTTTACTGTACAAGCCAGGATCGATCGTGGCTTCTTCCCTAGAGGCGCCGCGTCCTAAGGAAATATAAACCTGTTACAAGCAGGATGAAGATTCGTGACGTGTATATCAAACATTCCTCGTGCCTTCACACAACAAAGTATATAACTACTACGCAACCCATACGACGTTAACGTCGAGTCTTTTTTTTTTCACCTATTTCAACCTCGCACAAAATGAGTGAAACTGGGTTGCATTGTGGTGTCCTGGTAATAGAAAGTACACTCCGGATGAATTTAGGCGATAACTATAAGCAGAGATGGATGGCCCAGGTCAAGAGCCCTCGCCTTGCCCTAATTCTCCTTCCCAAACAATCCCATTCCCCCGCCCCCCGACTCCTAATTTTTCCTCATAATTGCACACGCAACCTCAGTGTTCACATTCATCTTTCCTAAGATATCTGGAAAAGCCCGGTATCAACTTCACTACAGTCCCAAAGTTTACAAGCCTCCACGGCCTTATGCAGAGGAGATTTGAGGCGCCTCAAAAGTCGTCTTATGTAGAGAAGGGCATTCTAGCACATACAGTCTTGTTGGCTCATAGTATCAGGATAGCAGACACGGGACCGCGAGACATGAGACGACTTTTGAGGCGCCTCAAAAGCCCATTTCACTATCAGTGTGTGCGAGCCGCGGCAATACGTGAAGGAGGACGTTGTTGGACACATGCATATGGTGCTCCCTATTCACTACCGCTATCACCACCATCTGGCCTTTCCTCTACCCCTCCCCCCCCCCCCCCCCCCCTCCCCTCCCTCCCTCCTCCCCTTCCCCCCTCTCCCCCTCCATTCCCGAGCACTCTTAGCGTGACTGTTATCGCCGCGTGCAGAGCAGGCGGAGCTCGCCGCCTTGTGTAGAGGACGTCGCCGTAACGCCGCTGCACACATGCCTGTTATTCGGCTCCGCCACCTGGCCCTCCTTACAAGCCAACTAAGCCTGTCGGCCCTCTTTACAAGCCAACTAAGCCTGTCTGTTATCGCCGCGTGCAGAGGCTCAGACCCACATACAACCTATCATCGTTGCACACGTACCCGTTGTTCAGCTCCGACATCTTCCGCGCGCTGTTCTGGAACTTGAGAGATATGATGCGCGCACAGAAGTCCCCCCGCGTCACCGAGTAGAACGCCAGGCACCGCCGCTTCGACACCGGCGTCCGCCCGACTCTTAACACCCCTGCTTTAACTAGCCTCGCCCGCCGCTGCTGCCACGCAGGTTGCTGCCATGGTGGAAGCTTGAAGGGCGGTTTGCCTGCAGGGTGACTGCTTGCTGACCAGATGTGGTGTGAAGGGGACTGCGGAAGGAGTTTCTGGTGTGATGAGGTGAACTGGTTTAGGGGGTTCTGGTGTGGTGAGGGGCGTTGTATGGTGGAAAGCTGGTGTGGAGTGAGCTTTCCCAGTGAGCGGGGTGTTGATGGGAGGGAAAGAGTGGTGGGCTGTGGTTGGGTGGGCTGCGGCTGGTTGGGCTGCGGTTGGGTGCGAGTTGGCTGGGTGAGCGAGTAGGATCGGTAGCTGGCGCTGGTGGTGCTGTTGTAGATGTACGCGAAGAGGCACACCTGGGGTGCAAAGGGGTGGAGTGGGATGCCGTGCGGTGAAGTGCGGTGAGAGGGGGTTTGGTGAGATGGGGTGCGGTGACAGGGTTGAGGAGAGGAAGACTAGGTGAGAGACGCGCAATGGCCCAAAGCACCGGATCAAACGGTAAGAACCACCTGCATGCCAGTTGACACCTCCCCCCAATATCACCTGCAACCCAATAGCTTCCCCCTCCCCACACCCCCAATATCACCTCACCCCAGAAAGCACCTTCCCCAGGTGTCACCTGAACACCGGTGATGTCCATGCCGTTGGGGAAGAGGTTGTCACAGGCGAGGCCAGGGTTGAGCCAGAAGAAAGAGACGGCACCTGCCCCCAATATCACCTCCTCCCAATAATACCTGCACGCCGGTGATGTCCATGCCGTTGGAAAAGACATTGTGACAGGCGAGGCCTGGGTTGAGCCAGAAGAAAGCGAGGGCATTTTCCCCGAGCTCCATAATCCATCCATTCCCCATCCCAGTAGCCACCTCCCCCCAATGTCACCTCCCCCAGGTGTCACCTGCACGCCGGTGATGTCCATGCCGTTGGGGAAGAGATTGTCACAGGCGAGGCCTGGGTTGAGCCAGAAGAAGACAAGGGCTGGCAGGTTGTACCGCGCCATGAGGGTGGTGCACGTGTCCCCTGGCTTCACGCCCTCCCACCACATGCACATGGGGTAGGCCATGCCCTCCCCCTCGCGCACACAGACCTGGGGGATGAAGGAACGGGGGATGGAGAAAGGGGAAGGGATGGGATGTGAGGGAGGATGCATGCATGCTCACTCGCCCTCCCACCACATGCACATGTGGTAGGCCATGCTCTCTCCCTCTCGCACACAGGCCTGGAGATCCTGTGGCGTTTCAAGACCCACCTGCTGGCCAGGAGAGGGCGCTTGGCAGGAGTCGGTGCCGGAGCAGTTTAGGCCGGGGTTCAAGCGACCAACCTCGTCAATCCAAAGATGCCTGCTGCAGCTGCTCATGACGCGAGAACTCTAAATACTTTGTGGGTTTCAAGACCCACCTGCTGGCCAGGAGAGGGCGCTTGGCAGGAGTCGGTGCCGGAGCAGTCAAGGCCGGGATTCAAGCGAGTCAAGTCGGTGACCCACCCACCTGGTGAGACCTGGAGATCCTGCAGCGGTTCGCCTCTCACCTGCTGGCCAGGAGTGGGCGTCTGGCAGGAGTCGGTGCCGGAGCAGTCGAGGCCGGGATTCAAGCGAGTCAACTCGGTGAGTCACTCAGCCACCCACATTCTGAGCCACCCACCTTTTGTGCCGCGTCTCACCTGCTGGCCAGGAGAGGGCGCTTGGCAGGAGTCGGTGCTGGAGCAGTCAAGGCCGGGATTCAAGCGAGTCAACTCGGTCTCGTCAATCAGCCACCCACCTTCTAAGCCAACCACCCACCCTGTGAGCTACCCACCTGGTGAGACCTGGAGACCTTATGGCATTTCGCAACCCACCTGCTGGCCAGGAGAGGGCGCTTGGCAGGATTCGGTGCCCGAGCAGTCGAGGCCGGGATTCAAGCGAGTCAACTCGGTCTCGTCAATCCCAAAAAGGCCCGCTACAGCCGAGCAGGTGTCGTCATGCGTCCAGGAGTAGAAGAGGCTGCAGTTGATGCAGGTGGAGGTTGGAGCCACGTTGATCTCGGTGTTGGCAGGGATGGTGGTGCATGGGGAGGTCTGGTGGGTGGGGGGGGGGAATGGGAATGAGCATTAAGAGGAGTGGTGCGTCCAGGAGTAGAAGAGGCTGCAGTTGATGCAGGTGGACGTGGGCGCCACGTTGATCTCGGTGTTGGCTGGGATGGTGGTGCATGACGAGGACTGGCGGGGAAAATTCGAGGGGGGAGAGGGAGGTAGGAAGGGAGCACAAGAGAGACTTGGTTTCATTTGAGGCGCTTCAAATTGGCACAGGGGAGCAGCAGGTATCGTCGTGCGTCCAGGAGTAGAAGAGGCTGCAGTTGATGCAGGTGGAGGGCACGCAGGTGAAATTTATCCTGTGAGAGACCGTAGAGCTGGTAGACGCGAAGAGGCGACCAGGTGGGTGGGGCAGTGCGAGCAGGCAAGAGGGAGGAGGGAGGGGGAGCTCACCAGTGCAGAGTTCTGAGCGAGAAAGTCCTCCTCTGAGAGGCCGTAGAGCTGGTAGACGCGATGAATACAGAGGAACAGGCTAGCAGCTCGAAGGGGTTTCAGAAGCGTAAAAAAAGGGAGCTCACCAGGTCGGGGTTCTGCGCGAGGAACGCCTCCTCTGAGAGGCCGTAGAGCTGGAAGACGCGCGGGCAGTCCACGTCCACGGGGAAGGTGAGCGTGGTGGGCGGGTCGGTGGCTGGCGATGGGGGAGGGGGGAAAGGTGAGACGGGGGTTGGGGAGTGGGAGTAAGGAGTTGAAGAATGGAAGAGCTGGTAGACGCGCGAGCAATCCACGTCCACTGGGAAGGTGAGCGTTGTGGGGGGGTCGGTGGCTGGCGATGGGGGGCAAGGTAGAAGGAGGTGGGGAGTGAAAGTAAGGAGTTGGAGAAATGAAGAGCTGGTAAGCATGCCCACATGCAAGCATGCCCACATGCAAGCATGCCCACATGCAAGCATGCCCACATGCAAGCATGCCCACATGCAAGCATGCCCACATGCAAGCATGCCCACATGCAAGCATGCCCACATGCAAGCATGCCCACATGCAAGCATGCCCACATGCAAGCATGCCCACATGCAAGCATGCCCACATGCAAGCATGCCCACATGCAAGCATGCCCACATGCAAGCATGCCCACATGCAAGCATGCCCACATGCAAGCATGCCCACATGCAAGCATGCCCACATGCAAGCATGCCCACATGCAAGCATGCCCACATGCAAGCATGTGGCATGGCCACTCACAGGGTGTGCAGGTCTCCCATCCGAGCGTGAGGCTGCCCTTCGCATATCCCGGCGGACAAAGACAGAAGTAGCCGCCCGCATTGTCGTTGATGCATGTGCCTGTGAGGCAGGGGTTGGACGCCTGTGTACCACACGCGTCCACTGGGGGGAAGAGAGGACAGGAGGGGGGGGACACAGGAGGGGAGGGGGGAGGTGAGAAGGAAGGGGCCGATGCGTGCATGCATGTGTGAGTGAGGCATGGGTTGGACGCCTGTGAACCCGAGGGGGAGGGGGGCGCGGAAAGGGGAGAGGTGAGAAAGGGGCGCATGGAACAAGGCATGTACTGAATGTGTCGTTGATGCATGAGCCTGCGAGGCAACGGTTGGCTGCCTGCGTGCCACAAGCATTCACTGGGCTGGGATGGCAAGGGAAGAAAAGGGACAGGAGATGCGTGGGGAAGGGGTGAGAAAGGGGCACTAGGCACGCACGAGGTATGGGAAGGAAGATGCTGATTCGTGCATGTGCATGCGAAAACAAGGTCGCCATAGTGAGCCAGCGACTCACAAGGGGCGCAAGTCGCGGTGCCGTCGTCGTTGGTGTAACTGACAAAGCCCGCCGGACACTGACAAGAGTAGCCACCAACCTCAGGCACACACATGCCGCCCCCACAGGGCTTCTGAGGCGAGTCACAGGGGGACGGCACTGGGGGGAAAGGGGGGGCGAGCGGGGGAGGAGCGGAGGATTATGTCAGAAGACCGATTCGCCCCTACAGGGCTTCTGGGGCGAGTCACAGGGGGACGGCACTGGGAGGAGTGGGGGAGCGGGGGAAGGGGATGGGGAGAGTGAGTTACAGAGGGATAAGCGCCGCCCCCACAGGGCTTCTGGGGCGAGTCACAGGGGGACGGCACTGGGGGGGAGGGGAGCGCGGGAGGGGGATGGGGGAAGGTTGATGGGGGGAAGGGTGCGGAGGGGTGGAGGGGGAACGAGTCACAGGGACGGTACTGGTGGGGAGGAGAGGGGGAGCGGGGGGAGGGGGAGGGAAGACAAGGAGGAATGGGGAGGAGGAGAAGGAGTGAGGGCTACTAAATCACACTCGTATCAGATTGACAGTTGCGAAGGGGGAAAGGACAGCACACGGGAGAGCACAAGACAGAGAGAGCGCACGGGAGATGAGGGAGAGGGAACGCGGAAATGGGGGGGATGGATGGTGTAACTTACCCTGAATGATGGGGTAGATGGTGTAACTCACCCTGAATAATGGGGTAGATAGCTGGCACGGAATGGATTCCGCAAATCCCAATGCTCCCCGCAAAAGCCATCCTCATGTGGCCCTGATGGGGACGGACAGGCGGAGAGGGGGAATGGGGGGTGAAGGGAAGAGGGGAGGGCGGAAAAAAGGGGAAGACGGGGGGACGGGGAATGGTGAAGTGAGGAGGTGAGAGTTTTGATTACAGAGTAAAGCTATCCTCATAAGTCCCTGATTTGATTTGATAGGGAGTGCGGGGAGGGGATGAACAAGTGGGGAATAGGGGAGGTGGAGAGAGTCAGAGAGAGGGTGAGAGAGGTGGGGGGATGAATAGAAGAAAAAGGAAAACTTGCCTCCTTGACCTGCTGGAAAGACACTGTACCCTTCTCCCCCCTCCCTTTTCCCTGCACCCCTTCTACCCCCACCCCTTTGCCCCGCTCCCCTTCTCCCCCCTCCCTTGCTTCTCCCCACCACCCTCCCTTCACCTGCTAACCCTACTTGGTGCCCCACGAGTTGCGCACGATCCAGTTGCCCTGCCCATCCGGCCCAACACCTGCCCCTGCCCCTGCCCCTGCCCCTGCCCCTGCCCCTGCCCCTGCCCCTGCCCCTGCCCCTGCCCCTGCCCCTGCCCCTGCCCCTGCCCCTGCCCCTGCCCCTGCCCATAATCCCATCCCTCATTTCCGCCCAACACACCACCCACACTCCCCGCACCTGCTCGCCCCACTTGGTGCCCCACGAGTTGCGCACGATCCAATTGCCCTGCCCATCCGACCCCGTGAACTCATACCCCACCACCAGCACTGCGTGATCCACTATGCCTGCTGCTGCACACCCGGGGTCATCGTAGACACCCTGAAGGGAGGTGGGGGGACAGAGGAAGGGGGAGGGCGATGAGAGGAGAGTAAGGGAGTTGCACCGGGAAAAGGAGTGAACTGTGAATGCGTACCGCAACACAAGCACTGCATGGTCCACAATGCCTGCTGCTGCACAACCAGGGTCATCATATACACCCTGAGGGCAAGTGGGGGAGGTGAGAGGGGTGATACGGACGAGGCAACAGGAAGGAAGTGAATGCATACCCCACCACCAGCACTGTGTGGTCCACTATGCCTGCTGCCGTACACCCGGGGTCATCATACACTCCCTGAGGGGAAGTGGAGGGACAGAGGAAGGGGGAGGGGGATGGAAGGAGAGTAAGGAGTCGCACCGGGACAAGGAGTGAACTGTGAACGCATGCCCCACCGCCGCCAGCACTGTGTGGTCCACGATGCCTGCTGCTGTACACCCGGGGTCATCATACACACCCTGAGGGCAAGTGGAGGGACAGAAGGGGGATGCAACGAGTGAATGCTTACCCAGCAGGGAATGATCCATGATGCCTGCAGCTGCTCACTCGGGGTTGTAAAGGACGCCTTTTTATCATTCTTATTACAACCACCATTATTTACTTCTACAAGACACTACTTTTTCTTCCAAAAATTCCTAATCATTTTACAGACGAGACAAAAAGCTGCACTAAGAAGGAAAAGCATAAATTACCGATTTGTATTTCTGGAAGGAGGGGAAGCTGCCGCGCACGAAGGCAATCACCGGCTGCACCTGCACGGCCTGCCACTAGCAGCCCCATCCAGCCTTTATCCTAACCGGGTGTTGCTGCATTCCTGTAACTCGTACCGATTTGTATTTCTGGAAGGACGGGTAGCTGCCGCGCACGAAGGCAATGACCGGTTGCACCTGCACGGCCAGCATGAGCCCGATCCAGCCGTAGTAGTCCACCTGCTCGTAGCGGGCGAGTCCCAGGGGTATTGATGCGGTGGCGATCTGAAACGTGAGGCGGGGAAGAGTGCGGGAAGAGGGGGGGATGAGAGGGGGAAGGAGGGGGGGAATAAGAGAAGAGAGGGGGAAAGAGGGAGCAGAGGATGATTGGTTGCACCTGCACGGCCAGCATAAGACCGATCCAGCCATAGTAGTCCACCTGCTCGTAGCGTGCCAGGCCCACTGGTGTTGATGCTGTGGCGATCTGAAGGTGAGCAGAGGGGATGGAAGGCAGTGAGGGAAATGGGGTTGGGAGCAGAGAACGACTGGTTGCACCAGTGCTGCACAGCCACCACGAGTCCGATCCAGCCGTAGTAGTACACATGCTCGTAGCGTGCTAGACCCAGTGGGGTGGATGGATGAGGTGGCGACCTGCGGCGGGGGAAAGGGGGAGAAGGGGAAGAATTAGCTTGCGGCGGCTCAGGCATCATACCTTACCCGCCTTGCCCTTACCCTCTTACCCGCCTTGCCTGCGTTGCACTAGGCCTGCTTGCCCTTGCCCCTCTTGCCCCCACCCTTGCCCTTGCCCTTGCCCTCGCCCTTTCCCTCGCACGCACGCGCCACTTGCGCTGCCCCTCGCACGCACCTTGCCGACAATTCCTCTACCATGCCCGCATTGCCCTTGCCCTCTTACCTTCCCCGCATTGCACTTGGCTTGTTTCCCTTTGTAAGGGTACTGCTGCTCCGGCACCACCCCTCCCAGGTCGTTACTGGCATCCACCATGTAGTCTAATGCTGACGCGGGCCATCCGCCCTTGCAGCTGCTGCTGCTCGGCTCGCAGTCAACAACCTGAGGGGTTGGGAGCGGTCAAGGAGAGGAAGGAGGGGTGCAAGAGGGTGCAGGAGTATGGAGTGAGGAATGTGGAGGTGCACACTAAGGCCCGAGTTAAAGCTGCCTTGGAACGTTTGCCTGTGCCAAGGCTTTTCTGTTGCCTTTGAGCCCGCTAACGTGGTGACTTACGAGGCGGATCATAAGTTCTTTCCATTGCCTTTTCTAGTCCGCTGACATGCTGAACATGCCGAACATTCTGAGCGCACCTGTTGCACTGAGATGTTGAACGCACAGTCGTACGACTCTAGCTGGCTCGCAATCATGGCCATCGTCAGTTCCACCGCGTTCACTGCTGTGATCGCCCATGACGCCTCTGCCACGGGCAGGCAGGGGGCGACGAGGAGAAGGGGGGTGGAGGGGTGGGGAGGGGAGGGCTTAAGAGAAAAGACGTCTCAATGGTTGCAATCATGCCCATCGTCAATCCCACTGCGTTCACTGCTGTGATCGCCCATGATGCCTCTGGGCAGGGGGCGAGAAAGCGAAAGGGCGGGGGTGAGGGGAAGGTTGGGGGAGGTTGGGGAGAAGGATGTAGAATGGTTGCAATCACAGCCACCGTCACTCCCACCGCGTCCAGTGCTGCGATTGCCCATGGTGCTTCTATTACAGGAGGAAGACGATGGGCAGGAAGCGCGGGGTGGAGAAAATTGGGCGATACAAGAAAAAGTGGACGAGAGAAAGTAACAAGGAGGAAGCAGCACAACACACCACAGCACAGCACCACACCACACCACACCGCACCACCACATCGCAGCTCAGCACAGCACAGCACAGCACAGCACAGCACAGCACAGCGCAGCACAGCACAGCACAGCACAGCACAGCGCAGCACAGCACACCGCAACACAGCGCAACACAGCGCAACACAGCGCAACACAGCGCAACACAGCGCAACACAGCGCAACACAGCGCAACACAGCGCAACACAGCGCAACACAGCGCAACACAGCGCAACACAGCGCAACACTCACTGCACGCGCCCTCGCTGCGCACGCCTTGCACGCCCTGCAGGTCGCGCCAGTCCACGTTGAGGCTGACACTCCAGCAGTCACACCCGCCATCATACCCCATGCTCGCATATCTCGACACGCGGTTGAGATGCCTCGGCTGTAGCAGCGCAAAGCTGGGCACAGCGCTACAGGCGTAGCCTGAGGCAGGGGGAGGGGGGGAAGAGGGGGAGAGGGGGGAAGGAGGAGGGCGGGAGAGGGGGGGACGGGAAGAGAGCACCGTCACGGCTCATGAGGGGAGAGGATGGGAAGAGGGGACGGAAAGGGAACACTCCAGCAGTCACACCCGCCATCATACCCCATGCTCGCATATCTCGACACGCGGTTGAGTTGCCTCGGCTGTAGCAGCGCAAAGCTGGGCACCGCACTACAGGCGTAGCCTGGGGGAAGGGGGAGAGGGGGCATGAGGGGAAGGGGGAGAGGGGGCATGAGGAGAAAGGGGAGAGCAGCCACCGCCGTACCCCATAAGACCATGCTCGCTATCTCGACATGCGGTTGAGATGCCTCGGCTGTAGCAGCGCAAAGCTGGGCATCAGATGCCTTTTATGGTAGTTGAATACGGGGAAAAGGCTCCTTTGCTACAAGATTGAATTCGCTTTTCGAAATTCTCAAAAGCAAATTGTTGACTAGCCTATAGGAAAATGTAGGAGACTCTATCAGGTATAAAATTCCAGTCTTTTAACAAATGACTCGTGTAGGCGACTCTTACGGGTATGAGATTCTAACCTGAAGCCGTTCTGAAGCAGCTCGCGACGATGAGAAGCGACAACACGATTGCATGACGGCGACGCGACGATGCGACGCCGCAGCACGACGACCGCGACGACGGTGGCTGGCGACTGTCGCCGGATCTATCGTCGGTACGGGTATGCTGCGGCATTGCGACGAGCAGCGACTGCGAAGCCACTAGCGATGAAACAACAGAGTGAAAGGTACTTTCGGGTCCGCGGAAATGTCGTGGGTATGTCCGCGGAAATGTCCGCGGAAAAGTTGAACTATAAGTGTGTGATCGTGGACGAATTTGGTCCTTATTATTCTCTTTAAGAGTTAACTGCTGGCTGCCGCAACGTGCGAGACTTTATTTGCAGTGCACGCCACTTATTACTGTACAAGTCGTGTATGTTGTCCGTCGGACGGCGACCTAGGAGACGACGGCTAGCACGAACTACAGTGCACAGCTACTATGACGGCTAATTATTGCGTGTAATCAGCTAAGTTGGGAATATATACACAGAGTAGGGCCATCCCCAAAAGAGAGAAAGACGGACCGCCGCTATGGAATGAAACAGAAGGGGAAGGAAAAGAAAGAACGTGCTGATTACGTTTAGGGGTTGTCTCTGTCTGCAAGAGTGAAACGTCGGCCAGTATGGGCGGATGTCAAAAGATTTGGACCGTCGGATTTCTCATGGGTCGAAAATCGACAGTTCATATCGCCTACATCTTTTCGCAATTGTCGACATCCCCACATCGGACCTCCTTGAGTGACACCAATGGAAAGGACAGAACGGAACTAGACGGAAAGTAACGGGAAACATAACGGAGCGGAGTTCCCCTCACAGGCACTTTTCTTGAAAGTTGTGTGGTTGTGGATCCAGCCAGATTCCCGACTTCCCAAACAAACCCGAGCGGCTCGAGCAGCGCGTGACTGTTCCCACCGATTGTCGGTGCCACAGTCCTGACAATCAGACTATAGCGGGTACGGATTGTTGTAAGCCTAGCACGGTAACGTATAGGGATACCCTGAGTGCACTAAATCCAGTTAAAGCCGGCAGCTCAAATTGCACATGTTTTAAAAAGTTGACGGGAGGGGAGTTTTGGGGGGTTGGGTTTTGGCGAGCGTTACAAATTTCGTTGCTATCGTTTTTTCGCCAAACCCAGCCAGCCCCCAGTTTTTACCGTGGTGTGAGTTTGTGAGACCCGAAAGTCCCAAATTGCAGGTGCGTGACTTTCAAAAGCTTGGACACTCAACTTGGGCCTCAGTTTTAAAGCAGCAGTATACATTTGGCAGTACTGTTTGGCTGACTACAGTGCCCAAAACTATTTCGCCCTAGCGAAAGTGAAACAGCTTGGCGATCGTATCGGCGAAAATCCCGAAGCCCCCCCACCACCTCGGGGGAATTGTGTGCTCGCAAAAGAGAAGCACCTCGAGAGCAAACACCAAATACTGGTGCCAGGGTACCAATCAGCATAACCATGGGTTCTATTATTAGTCTACCCCACTTGAAGTTCTATCAGGTGCTGGGCCGGCAGAACAGACACCACGACCACTAAACCATTATCTCGTGAGTCCGCAAAAGCTGTCCGACTACGCTACAATAAACGGAATCATTCTACACCTCCGCATGTGTACGTCTGTCCGCTCCCCGCGAAATAACTCCCCCCGCGCGCACTCGCTCCCTCCGCGCGCACTCGCGCCCCCAGCGCGTATTCGCTCTCCCCGCGTGCTCTCGCTCCCCCCGCGCTCACTCGCTCCCCTCGCGCACTCGCTCCCCCAGCGCTCACTCGCTCCCCCAGCGCGCATTCGCTGCACCGCACACGCGGGATCCCCCCGCGCTCACTCGCTCTCCGCGCGCAATCGCGGTCTCCGTGCGCGCTCGCGCCCCCAGCGCGCATTCGCTCCCCCCGCGCTCGCTCGCTCGCCCCGTGCGCACTCGCGCCCCCAGCGCGCATTCGCTCCCCCCGCGCTCGCTCGCTCGCCCCGTGCGCACTCACGCCCCCAGCGCGCATTCGCTCCCCCCGCGCTCGCTCGCTCGCCCCGTGCGCACTCGCGCCCCCAGCGCGCATTCGCTCCCCCCGCGCTCGCTCGCTCGCCCCGTGCGCACTCGCGCCCCCAGCGCGCATTCGCTCCCCCCGCGCTCGCTCGCTTGCCCCGTGCGCACTCGCGCCCCCAGCGCGCATTCGCTCCCCCCGCGCCATTGTCGTTCCTTCTACTCTGCGCCAGGCGCGCCCGCCCCCACCTTCCACCGCTACCAAACCATCCACTATTGTCACACTTCCTTCTCTCCTCTTCCCCCCTCCCTCTCCTCACTCCCGCACTCCCTCCCACCCTCCCTCACCCCTCCGTCGCCCCTGCCTGCCGCATGGCTCTCCCCATCCCTTGGTGTGCGACTCACAGGGGGCGGAGGTGGAACCTAACATAATCTTCTTCGTCTTCGAGCTGTACCAGATCAAGGTGCGCTCCCCCCTACCCTGCTGCCTCCGCTGCCTCTGCACCCTCTGCTCCCTCTGCTCCCTCTGCCCTCTCTGCTGCCTCTGCTCCTTCCTTCCCCTCCCTGCATCCCCCCCTTTTCCCCCAGCACTGCATCCCCTCCTACCCCTCCATGCATCCCCTCCTTCCCCTCCTTGCATCCCCTCCTTTCCCTCCCTGCATCCCCCCCTTTCCCTCCCTGCATCCCCTTCTTTCCCTCCCTGCATCCCCTTCTTTCCCTCCATGCATCCCCTCCTTTCCCTCCCTGCATCCCCTTCTTTCCCTCCTTGCATCCCTTCCTTTCCCTCCCTGCATCCCCCCCTTTTCCCCCCTGCACTGCAACCCCTTCTTTCCCTCACTGCATCCCCTCCTTTCCCTCCTTGCATCCCCCCCTTTTCCCCCCAGCATTGCATCCAATCCTTCCCCTCCTTGCATCCCCTTCTTTCCCTCCCTGCATCCCCTTCTTTCCCTCCTTGCATCCCCTCCTTTCCCTCCCTGCATCCCCCCCTTTCCCTCCCTGCATCCCCTTCTTTCCCCCCCTGCATCCCTCCCTGCATCCCCTTTCTTCCCTCCCTGCATCCCCTTCTTTCCCTCCCTGCATCCCCTCCTTTCCCTCCCTGCATCCCCCCCTTTCCCTCCCTGCATCCCCTTCTTTCCCCCCCTGCATCCCTCCCTGCATCCCCTTTCTTCCCTCCCTGCATCCCCTTCTTTCCCTCCCTGCATCCCCTCCTTTCCCTCCCTGCATCCCCTTCTTTCCCTCCCTGCATCCCCTCCTTTCCCTCCCTGCATCCCCTTCTTTTCCCTCCCTGTATCCTCTCCTTTCCCCCCATGCATCCCCTCCTTTCCCTCCCTGCATCCCCCCCTTTTCCCCCCTGCACTGCATCCCCTTTTTTCCCTCCCTGCATCCCCTCCTTTTCCTCCCTGCATCCCCTCCTTTCCCTCCCTGCATCCCCTCCTTTTCCTCCCTGCATCCCCTCCTTTCCCTCCCTGCATCTCCTTCTTTCCCTCCCTGCATCCCCTCCTTTCCCTCCCTGCATCCCCTCCTTTCCCTCCCTGCATCCCCTTCTTTCCCTCCCTGTATCCCCTCCTTTCCCTCCATGCATCCCCTCCTTTCCCTCCATGCATCCCCTCCTTTTCCTCCCTGCATCCCCCCCTTTTCCCCCCTGCACTGCAACCCCTCCTTTCCCTCCCTGGATCCCCTCCTTTTCCTCCCTGTTTCCACCCCTTACCTTCATTCACCCCCTCTGCTTGCCCCTTTTCCTCTCCATTCCCTCTCCTTCCTTCACTCTCCTCCCGCGTACCATCTCACCCCTGCTTCTTTTGTCTTTTTTCCGTTTTGCTTCCCCAACTTTTCCTCCATTTTTCCCCTAATTTCCCCCCAGCCCTTCATGAGGGTCCCCCCTTGCTAAGCCATTTCCTTGCACACGTGCTAGCCTTCCTTCCCCATGCACACTCTTCCTTCCCCATGCACACTCTTCCTTCCCCATGCACACTCTTCCTTCCCCTCCAGGCTTACACTGTTTCTCCCCTCCTTCTGGTTTCTTACTCCCCTGCCACCCTATCTTTTCCCCCTCCTACCCTATCGTATGCGCTGCCAGTGGTGCAGGCGCTGGCAGGGCGTGTGGTGCGGGGCGGTGGTAGTGCTGCCCACCAGAGACCTGGCTGCTCAGGTGGGTAAATCAAATCCCCCTCCCCAGTAGGCATCCTGCTGGGTGCCTTGCTGTGCTTGCCCTTGGGTGCCGTCCCGAATGCTCGCCGCACTGCTCACTTCCATGCCTACATGCTCTCCCCGTTTTTCCTCCCATCCTAGCGTCATGTTTATCCCCAATTTGCTCCCATGCTTCCTTCGAGCTATCCACAAGAGTCCCCCAAGCTATCCCCCCCTTGATAGCCCCATATTCTTCCCGTGATAGTCGGTTGTTTCGTCGCTGCCAGCCCCATGTGTCCCCCCAGCTTGGCCCAGGTTTATACAAGGTGCTATCCCCATGTTTAGAAAGAGGGTGGTCAGTGCATCACTGCTCCCAGCAGCGTGTGGAGCACTCAGCAACAAAGGAACCGAGCATCCCTCACACTATTACTCGCCTTCCCTTGTCACATCCTCTCCTCCCTCCCTTCCCTCAGCCTTCCCAGGCTGGGTGTTCTGTGCATGAAAGCTCCCAGCAGTGTGTGGAGGGTTTAGCAACAAAGGAACCTCACTGTCCTCACACTCTTACTCTCCTTCCCCTATCACATCCTCGCTTCCCTCCATCCCCTCAGCCTTCCCAGGCTGGGTTGTGAGTGCATGAAAGCTTCCAGCACCGTAATGCTCAGCCTCTCCCCCCCCCCCCCCCCCCCCTCTCCGCATCCTTTTTCTACTGCTTCTGGCTCAATGGCAGAGGGAGGTGGAAATGAGAATGTTGAAGGTGCTACTGCTGGTGACGGTGCTTCAGGTGGTTGTGCTGGTCCTGGTGATGACCCCCTATGAACTACTTGTTCCCCCGCCCATCGTACCGGCACCTGAACCGTGCCGAATTGCCGTAATACATTGCCACGCATTTAGTTATCCTAAACCCTGGTAACAAGGAGTAGCACACGGGTTATAATAAAAAGTAGTCAATCTGGTCGCTGGTAACAGTGTCAACCCACCCTGGATTCCTCGGTACCAATCACGTTGCTACTCATATGTTCATGCACGAATGTCCTCATCCGAAAATCTATCTCGTCAGGCACTTCCCATTCGCATACAAACCAATCAATGTCACCCTGGCTGCAATTTTTGTAGCCTTCACCCGATGGCTCAGGATACAGCGAACCTATAACCACATAGACCAACCAAGGCAAAGTCACACGGGCGCATGCATGGCTTCCCAGCAGTTCAGAGTATTCAACGAAAACGATGGTTCTTGGGAAAGATCGGATGACCCTGCGCATCCACCGTTGTGTTTTTACCCAAACACACTCGCACGACATCAGTCAAGGTTCCGTTACCCTCACTACTGCTTGCGCCGTCCGCGTACCCATGCTCCTTTAGAGCCCCCTCCACTTGAACATGGTACTGTTTCGCACGATGTACAGCGAATTCGGAGGGTGACCAACTCTCGCTCGCGTAAAAAACCTGGGGGGGCAATCCAGTGGGTCGTACAACCCTTCGACGGCGAACCGTGCGTATTGGGTGTGACGTGCTAGCAACCACCGAACCCCTAGACACGGAGATGCCGCGAGTATCAGTACGCGATTCAGTCCTGCTGTCCCCCCGTCGCCGCTCTCCTTGCTCATCTTCATCGTCCTCATCCTCAATACCAACTCTAAAACCAAGCGTCAACCGTCGCCAACGCCCACGACGGTGCGAGAACATCCTTGATTTCTGGCGGGGAACAGCAGAAGGGAGTGGAAAAGTTTGTGAAATGATTAGGGAGGTAAGGGAGGGAAGGGAGGGACGGGAAAGAAGGGAGAGAAAGGAGAGGAAGGAGAGAAGGGAGAGACAGGAGATTGCAATGAGGGATGAGAGGGAAGGGAGAGAAGGTAAGGGGGGAGAGAAGGGTGGGAAGGGTGAAGGGAGGGAAGGGTGTGAAGGGAGGGAAGGGAGGGAAGGAGGGAAGTGAGTGAGGGAGAGAAGGGAGGGAAGGGTGTGAAGGGAGGGAAGGGAGGGAAGGAAGGGGAAGTGAGTGAGGGAGAGAAGGGAGGGAAGGGAGAATGGGAGGGAAGGGAGAATGGGAGGGAAGGGAGAATGGGAGGGAAGGGAGAATGGGAGGGAAGGGAGAATGGGAGGGAAGGGAGAGGAGGGAGGGAGAGAAGGGAGGGATTGGAGGGAAAGGAGGGAGGGGAATGCAGGGAGTGAAGGAAGGAAGGAGGCAATGGAGGGACGGGAGAGCAGGGAGGGAAGGGAGAGACGGAAGATTGGAAGTAGGGATGAGACGGAAGGGAGAAAAGGGAGGAAATGGGGGGAGGAGAGAAGGGAAGGAAGGGAGAGAAGGGAGGAAAAGGAGAGAATGGAGGGAAGGGAGAGAAGGGAGGAAAAGGAGAGAATGGAGGGAAGGGAGGGAAGGGAGGGAAGGGAGGGAAGGAGGGAAGCGAGGAAAGCAAGGGACGGGAGAGAAGAGAGGGCATGGAGCGATGGGAGAGCAGGGAGAGAAGGGATGGAAGGGAGAGAATGGAGGAAGGGAGAGAAGGCTTCCCCAGGGAGGGATTGGAGGGAAAGGAGGGAGGGGAGGGAAGGGAGGGAAGGGAGAGAAGGGAGGGAAAGGAGGAAGGAAGAGTGAAGGGAGAGAAGGGAGGGATTAGAGGGAAAGGAGGGAAAGGAGGGAGGGGAGGGAGGTGAGGGAAGGGAGAGAAGGGAGGGCAGGGTGCGGGAAAGAGGGAAGGGGGACAGGGAGGGAAGGGAGAGACGGGAGAGAAGGGTGGGATTGATGGGAAAGGGGGGAAAGGGAGGGAAGGAGGGAAGGGAGGAAAGGGAGGGAAGGGAGAGAAGGGAGGGACGGTTCGCCGGGCGACGGAAAAAGGGAATAGGGAGGCGGGTAGGCATGTATGGAGGCGGGAAATGGGAAGCATGCGGCTGGAAAGGCGCATCGGGCGGGGGGAAAGGGGAAGCGGGCGGCGGGAACGGGACTCCGGCGGCAGGAGCTGGAATTTGGCGGCGCGAAAGGGGAATTGGGCGGCGCGAAAGGGGAATCGGGCGGCGGGAACGCGATCAAGGCGGCGGGAACTGGTATTTGGCGGAGCGATAGGGGAATCGGGCGGCGGGAAGGGGAGGTCGGCCGGCCCTGGCGGCATCTATGGGCGGGTAAGGGGATACGCACCGCGATTAGAAGGGGATTCGGGCGGCGGGATAGGGGAACCGGGCGGCGGGAACGTGAATCGGGCGACGCGAAGGGAGTAGGGCCACGGAAAAGGGAACCTGCAGGCTAGACAGAAGAATCGGGAGGCTTGAAGGGGCCTCCCGCGGCTCGAACAGGGAGTCGAGCGGAGGAAAGGGGAATTGCCGGGCAGCGTGGCTGGGGTTCCCTGGCGGCGGGAATGGGAAACCGGGCGGAGGGAAGGGCATCAGGCAGCGGGAATGCCAGCGCGAAGGGGAGTCGGGCCGGAGGAAAGGGCTAACGCGAACCCTAAGCCATTTCGCAAGCTCACGCTCCCCGCGAAATGCACCGTGTCTTAGGCGCCGCAAAATAAACTATGGCTCTGTGGGTGTTTTACAGTAAGCGTGAGATGCGCTATAATGACATTGGCTTGCAGAGGTTGGCTGAAGTTACCTTTTTAGTGATGACAGAGAGCGCTCTGGGAGTGGAGATATTGGCGAGGAGGCATGTCCTTCAGTTTACTTTTGGCAAGCCATAAACTTTCGACCAGGGAGTGAGGTGAGGGGTTGGGTTCGAACTTGTCGCTGTGTCCGAAGTCCGAGAGGCCCTGTTACCGTAATCACCCGGACAAAACACCCCCCCGTAATAGTACACCCCCGGGTAGCTTGTGCGGGGGGGGTGCTATAGCCGACCTCGTTTGTACTATACCCCCCTTTTTGGGATGATTCTCTATAACACCCCCCTTTTCTTACGAAACCTTAAAACTGTTATCGAGTCAGTTTTTTTACGGGAATATCGCTTCCTGAATGAAATTTCGCGTGCACTTTCACTTCGAATCTACCGAGATTCCCTCCCTTCCACAATTTCGCTGTCGCCACGCTGGCGAATCTTCCGCATCACGTGGCCCGAGAGGTTCTCGCCAAAACGCGAATTCTCGCCTCAACATGTGATGTTAAAACGACTATTGAAACACCCAAATTGTCTAATTAAACTTTTTTCTTACACTAAAAAGTGCCATATATAACCACCCGGGTTCACTTCACCTCCGGGTGCAAAGCGCCATTCCAACATACAACCTATCATTCGTGCAGACATACCCATTGTTCAAATCCGCCATCTTTCGCGCACTGTTCTGGAACTTGAGCGATATGATGCGCGCACAAAAGTCCCCGCGCTGCACATAGTAATACGCAAGGCATTTAGGCCGGGCGCGCCGGCCTTTAGCGGTCGCTAGCAGCCTCTTTTGGAGCGCCACTGAGGCCCCTTTAAAGCCAGGCCGGAACAGCCCTTCCTGCCTGCTCCTGTGAGGCCCCAACTCTGCCATCCGAGTGAAAAGCTCGTGCATCCACTGCTGCCACGACTGCTGCTGCCGCTGCTGCTGTTGCTGTAGCTGGGGCTCTCGGCGAAATCTCCGCGACAATTGTCCTGCCACCCATGCATTTTCTAGCCTCTCGAGTGCTTCGGGCCTCTCTGGCCTTTCGGCCATGTGGAGTGCATCAAGGCTCTTGGGCGGGCTTTGCAGGGTGGAGTGCGGGTCGAGGGCGCGGAGGGAACGAGCGGGAGCAGGGCTTGTGCCGTTGACTGCGAAGCCTGAGATGCACACCTGTGGGGAGGGAAGTAGAGGAAGGGTCAGGAGGCGCAACACACGTGGCTGATGTGTCGGTTTCCAATAGTCGGTCGCATTGTCTGTGAAATCTGAGATTGTGAAGCCTGAGTTGCCCCCTTGCAGGCACGGAAGTAAAGGGAGGACAGGAGGCAGTGAGGGGGAGGGATGTAGAGAGAGGATCAGGAGGCGTTGAGGAGGCTAGACTCACTTGAACGGGGAAAGTCTCTCAAAATAGTCCTCACCTGAGTGCCGCTGAGCGTGTCCCCCCCCTGCTGGTCGCCGCCATCCTCGTCGGGGCCGCTGAGGTAGGGGAAGAGCGCGGCGCAGCTGAGGCCAGGGTTGAGTGCGTAGAAGGAGAGCTGGGAGAGCTTGAAGCGCGCCATTATGGAGTCACAGCTGTTGCCCGGCTGAACCGTGTAGAACTGCGTGCACATGGGGAAGTCTGCTCCATCCCCTTCTTGCACGCACACCTGGTGATAGAATCAAGGGGTGTGAGGGAGGGGGACACACAGGGAGAGCTTGAAGCGCGCCATTATGGAGTCGCAGCTGTGACAGTGTCAGGTCAAAGGCATGTCACTGTGAGTGAGTATGTTTCCATGCCACCAGGCATACACAGAGGCAACTCACTTGCTGGTTCACTGCAGGGAGCTTCTTCTTCTTCCCCGAGCAGCACACACCCGGGTTCAGAGCCTCCAGCTGTGACGTTCCACAGCAGGCTTACTGCCTCTTCAGCCATCAGCCACACAGTCAAAGAGGCAACTCACTTGCTGGTTCACTGCAGGGAGCTTCTTCTTCTTCCCAGAGCAGCACACGCCCGGGTTCAGTGCTTCAAAGTCTGCTACTGTCAGGTCAAATCCGTCTGCCACCGCTGCACACGTGTCATTCTGTGATTGGAGGGGTTTGGAGGGGGGGGAAGTGGTGTAATGGGCAGGAGAAGGGAGAGGAACAGATAGATTGGGGGATGAGAGAGGAGGGGTTTTTTGGAGGTACGGCAGAGAGAGGAGGGGTTTTTTGGAGGGATGAGAAGGGATGGAGGGAGGGAGCTATGGAGGGAAAGAGGGAGGGAGGAGGGCAAAAAAATGGGAATGCAAGCAGAGGGAAAAGGAAAGATGTGGCAGTGTGAAGGGGTGGAGGAAAGGGGGTGTGCGACATGCAGAGAGCGGGAGAAAAGGGGAGGGACTGAGGAAAGGAGAGAGGGAGAGAGGCGACTTCTGTTTTCGAGCATGGGGGTTGAGTGGTGGATTTAGTTGAGACTCATAGGGGACACGGAGTAGAAGAGGCCGCAGATGACAGCAGAGTGACGTTGAGGGGGGCAGGTGACGAGGGGTGGATAGTGGGGACTCCAGCGGAGCAGCTTCAAAACAACGGAAGGAGGGTCAAAGACTCACAGTGGACCAGGAGTAGAAGAGGCCGCAGATGACAGCAGAGGGCGGCAAAGTGACATTGAGGGGAGTCAGAGCAGGAAGGGGTGGATGCTTACAGGTGTTTTGAGGTGTATGAAAAGAGCAACAGGAGGGGGTTGAGTGGAGTGGAGACTCACAGTGGACCAGGAGTAGAAGAGGCCGCAGATGACAGCAGAGGGCGGCAAGGTGACGTTGACGACTGTGTTGGCCCAGATTGTGTCGCACCATCCCTCACTGTTCTCCTGGATAGATGCGCAGGCAGAGGGAAAAAAAAAGAGGTGGATGGGTATGGATGGGTGGGCATATGGAGAGCAGAGGTGGGCAGAGTGACGTTGACGACCGTGTTGGCCCAGATTGTATCGCACCACCCCTCGTCGTTCTCCTGAGATAGAGGGCAGGGAGAGCAGCGGAGGGGAAGAGAGAGATGGGTGGATGGATGGATTGGTGGACGGATGGATGGACGGACAGATGGACGGACAGGGCTCCATGCAACAGGCAGCATATCATCCGTCACCACACCAAAAGCACCGTTTCCAACCCAGCAGCACCGAATTCAACCCAGCAGCACCCACCAGGTCGGGGTTCTGAGCGAGGAACTGGTCCTCGTCCAGCCCGTAGATCTGATACACGAGCTCGCAGTCGACGTCCATGGGGTACGAGATGGTGGAGGGACGATCGGCAGCTGGAGGGATGAAGGGAAGGGGGGGAGAAGGGAAGGGGGGGAGAAGGGAAGGGGGGGAGAAGGGAAGGGGGGGAGAAGGGAAGGGGGGGAGAAGGGAAGGGGGGGAGAAGGGAAGGGGGGGGTGCGGTGCGTGCAGGAGAGGTAGTGAGTGAGGGGATTTGATACACGAGCTCGCAGTCCACGTCCATGGGGTACGAGATGGTGGAGGGACGCTCAGCGGCTGTTGAGGCGAGGGTAGGATGTGGGAGCGAGTGTGAGTGGGAATGAATAAGGGCATCTGATACACAAGCTCACAGTCCACGTCCATGGGGTACGAGATGGTGGAGGGACGCTCAGTGACTGGAGGGATGCACGTCCATTTGCATGCACTCTATTCTCACACCCTACAGCCACTCACTGGGCACACAGAGCTCGGTGCCCCCGGCACGCAGGCTGCGCTTGAAGCCGGGCGGGCAGAGGCAGAGGCAGAGGCAGAGGCAGAGGCAGAGGCAGAGGCAGAGGCAGAGGCAGAGGCAGAGGTACTCGCATTCTACGTACTCGCATTCTACGTACTCGCATGCAGAAACATCCCTCATCCCAAAGCACGTGTGTGAAACCTTGCCTCCTACAGCCCCCAGCCACTCACTGGGTACCCAGAGCTCAGTGTCGCCGGCTTGCAGGCCTCGCTTGAAGCCGAGCGGGTAGGAGATAGAGGCGCAGAGGTTGGCTTGCCCGCTCAAAACACATGCGAGAGCCCCTACCCCCTAGAGGGAACAGCCACTCACTGGGTACGCAGAGCTCAGTGCCCCCGGCACGGAGGCCTCGCTTGAAGCCGGGCGGGCAGAGGCAGAGGTAGCCACCCTCACTGTCACTCAGACACGAGCCCACTCCACAGGGGTTGCCGCCCTCAAACCACGAGCACACGTCATCTGGTGTGAGGGAGAAGAGGGGGATCAAGGTAAGGAAGGGGAAGCGGGGAGAGAGAGGAGTGAGTGAGTGTGTGCGGGGGACAACAGTCACTCAGACACGAGCCCACTCCACAGGGGTTGCTGCCCTCAAACCACGAGCACACGTCGTCTGTTGTAAGAGAGAATGGGAGGGGAGGATAGTAAGCGGGTGAGGAAACAAGTGTCACTCAAACATGAACCCACTGCACAGGGGTTGCCGCCCTCAAACCACGAGCACACGTCGTCTGGAGAGGGAGAAGGACAAGGGGAAAGAGGAGGAAGAGAGTGAACGTGTGGGGGGAGAACAACAACACACAGGAGAGGAAAAAACACAGCAGCGCACCCATACCCACCTAGAGCTTTGAGGCGCCTCAAACCCACATACCCAGAGCGCAGGTTGGGGTGCCGTCATTGTTGGTGACGGGCACAAAGCCGTCCGCACAGGAGCACACGTAGGAGGGCCCAGAGAGGTGTGGGAGCAGAGAGCAACCCATAGGGCCATAGCAGCACACAGCAGCAGCACACCCACACCCACACTCACCTAAAGCGCAGGTTGGAGTGCCGTCGCTGTTGGTGACGGGCACAAAGCCATCCGCACAAGAACACACGTAAGGTGGTCCAGAGGGGTGCAGCAGCAGAGAGCAGCGTATTGAGAGAAAAGAGCGGCGCACAGCACCAAAACCACATACCCAGAGCGCAGGTTGGGGTGCCATCGCTGTTGGTGACAGGGACAAAGCCATCCGCACAGGAACAGACGTAGGGCGGTCCAGAGGGGTCTGTGTTGGCTGCACAGTCCCCCCATCCACACGGGTTAATCTCGTCGTTGCAGGGCGAGGGTGCTGGAGGGAGGGAGAGGGAGAGGGAGGGAGGGAGGAGAGGAGACAATGGTTTTGACACTGAAATGCGGTATAGAACGGTTGAGTCTGCACTGCAGTGCTGGCCGCACGGTTCTCCAACCCGCATGGGTTGATCGGGTCGCTGCAGGGCGAGGGGGCTGGAGGGAGAGAGAGACTGGGGAGGGAAAGAGCGGGGAAAAAGAAAAGGGAGAGGAGGCAGCGGGGTGAGGCATAGTGGGGCGGACCAGAGGGGTCAGTGTTGGCCGCACAGTCCCCCCACCCACACGGGTGAATGCCACAGATGCCAATGCCAATGGCAATGCACAGGGTGTGTGTGTGCTAGTGTGAGACTGCACACCTACACAAGTGCATAGAAGAAAGGTCAACTCACTCTTAATAACGGGCTAGAGGGCCGGCACCAAGTGAATGCCACAGTTGCCAATGCCTCCCTTAAAGTGTGCATGCGTGTGCGTGTGCGTGGGTACGCGCGTGTGAATACGCATACATACGTGTGTGTGCGTGGGAGGTTAAGCAACTCACTCTTGATAACCGGGGTAGATGGCCGACACTGAGTGAATGCCACAGATGCCAACGCCTCCCACCAAGTGTGCATGCGTGTTCGTGGGTACGTGTGAGTGCATACGCATGCAGGTGAGGTTGACTCACTCTTAATAACGGGGTAGATGGCCGGCACAGAGTGAATGCCACAGATGCCAATGCCTCCTATCATGGCCATGCGCATGTAGCCCTGCAGGAGGGGGAAGAGGGGAAGAGGTGGGGTGTTATCCATCTCATACCCCACCACAGCAAAAACCACCACAACCATAAGCACTACCAGCAGCCATCACCACCACAACAAGCACCACTGCCCTGCCCCTCATTCAACCTTCCACTCCTCCTTCTTTGTCGCACCTTCTCGCCCCAGCTGGCGCCCCACGAGTTGCGGATGATCCAGTAGGGCAGAGTGTCGTAGTTGTCCATCTCATACCCCACCACCACCACACTGTGATCCACCACTCCTCCCGCACATGCCCGGTCTTCATAGGTTCCCTGAGAGCGGGGTGGGGGGAGAAGGGAGAGATGAGCAGAGTGCAGTGCGGTGCAGTGCAGTGCAGTGCAGTGCAAGAGGTTGTCCATCTCATACCCCACCACCACGCTGTGATCCACCACAGCCCCCGCACACGCCCGGTCCTCGTATCGTACGTGACCTGTAGAGGAGAAAGAGGAGAGAAAGAGGAGAGAAAGAGGAGAGAAAGAGGAGAGAAAGAGGAGAGAAAGAGGAGAGAAAGAGGCACGAGAGACAGGGAGGCAAGGGAAGGCAGAGGAGGGCTGGGATTCGTCACATAACAGCCGTCCATCTCGTAACCCATCACCACCACGCTGTGACCCACCACTCCCCCGGTCCTTGTATCGTACGTGCCCTGACAGGGGAAAGAGGCACGAGGAGGAATGCACCGGGAATGCCTCGCAAACGCTCCATTGACTCACGTTGACCCGCACGCTCTGCATTTGACCTACACGACCAAATGGCATACACATCAGCATGCGTTGACTTGCACTGACTGGCGCTGATTAGCATTGTCTGGCGTTGACTTGTGCTGACTTGCGTTGACTGGCGTTGACTCACCTTACGGTAGGACAGGAAGGTGGGATGGCTGCCCCTCACAAACGCAATCGTGGGCTGTGTCTGCATGGGGAAGAGCGGAGGAGAGGGGAAGGAGGGGACAGGGGATAATAAGGAGAAGCTGAGAACAATAAGGAGAGCAGAGAGTGGAGATGGAGGACTTTTGAGGCGCCGCAAAAGGGGAGATGGTTTGAAGATCCATCCAGCAAGCCTTTGCGAGAGCGTTGCTCGTCCCACTGCCGGTCAAAGGAGCCCACCCGGTCGCTCGTATGCGATCACCCTTTCTCCGATCTTCCTCACCCTCCCCCAACCACTCCTCACCACCCCTCACCACCCCTCACCACCCCTCACCATCCCATCCTCACCTGCACGGCGAGTGTGAGTCCCAGCCACCCAAAGAAGTCCACCTGGTCGTACCCTATCACCCCAATGGCCTTGGGCACGCTCTTGCGTAGCAGCTCCTTTGACTGGAGAGAGGGTGTGGGTGAGAGGGAGGGAGGGAGGGAGGGAGGGACGAAAGGGGTGGGTGGGGTAGGTAAGGGGGAAGAAAGAGGGGAAGGAGGTGAGGTGTGAGGTCAACACGTGGGTCGTACCCAATCACCCCAATAGCCTTGGGCACGCTCTTGCGCAGCAGCTCCTTGGACTGTATGGGTAGGGAGAACAGGAGAAGCAAGGGCGGGGAAGGAGGGGTGTGTGCGTGAGGTCACCACGTGGCTCGTACCCTATCATCCCAACCGCCTTGGGGGTGCTCTTGCGCAGTAGCTCCTTGGACTGCAGCGCACAGCACAGGCATGTGGGGGGGAGGGAGGGAGGGAGGGAGGGGAAGGAAGAACTCAAGTGTGCTGGAGTTGGCCAAACTCCTGCTCGTACCCAATCGCCCCAACCGCCTTGGGCACGCTCTTGCGGAGAAGCTGCTTTTCCTGCACGCTGTGCAGGTTGCAATGCAAGCACAGACACAGCCGCTTCTTGCTTACCCTAGTGGCATTGCACACGCCCTGTTTCTGCGTGTAAGGATACGCAGCCTCCGTCGCCAGTCCCCCGTTCGCTTGTGTCGCGTCCACCATGTGCCGATGTGGGCCACCCGCCACCGCTGCAGCTGCTGTTGCTGGGCTCGCAGTCCAGCACCTGCTGCACCGACACAGCTGCACTCACTGCCACACCTACAAGCACAGCCACAACCACTGCTTACCTTGGTCGCGTTGCAAACGCCCTGCTTCTGAGTGTACGGGTAAGCAGCCAGCCTCTGTAGCTAGCCCTCCATTCGCCTGTGTCGCGTCCACCATATAATCGAGCGCCGACGTGGGCCATCTGCCCCCAGTAGAGCTGCTGTTGCTGGGCTCGCTTTCCAGCACCTGCTGCACCGACGCTACCCCAGCTACAGTTACAGCCAGACTTATCCACACAAACAACACAGCCGCGCTGTGCTTACCTTGGTCGCGTTGCAAGTGCCTTGCTTTTGTGTATACGGGTATGCAGCTTCCGTGGCGAGCCCTCCGTTAGCCTGAGTCGCGTCCACCATGAAGTCTAATGCTGACGTGGGCCACCCGCCACCGCTGCAGCTGCTGTTGCTGGGCTCGCAGTCCAGCACCTGCTGCACCGACACGCGCGCCGCGCATGGCAGATTGGGATACGAGGGAGCTATTATCGCGTACGCCATCTCCACTGCTGTCACTGCCGTTATCGCCCACGAGGCCTCTGGGAGAGGGAGAACGTGGGTGGGAGGAAGAGGAGAGAGGAGGACGAGAGGGAGGAGTGGAAAGGGTGGGAGGACGAAACAGGAGAGGGAAGCGCTTGAGCTACTATCGCGTACGCCATCTCCACTGTTGTCACGGCCGTTATTGCCCACGAGGGCTCTGAGAGAGCGAGGGATTTGTGGGTTGGAAGGACAGGGAAAGGGGGAGATGGGGAACGGTGGGAGGACGGAACAGGAGAGGGGGAAGCGTTGTAAGTTGTTTCGCTTGTAGCGAACTCGTTAAAAGCATCGTTAATTATCCAGGCCCCCTCCGTGCGCAGCGGAAGCACGGGTTTCAGGCGGTCGTCCCATCGCCAGTCGACCGAGAGGTCCGGCTCCCACCACTCCTCCGACTCGTTATAAGCCACGGTGAGGCCGTTTCACTTGTAGCAGACTCGTTAAAAGCAATATTACTTACTGCAGGCCCCCTCCGTGCGCAGCGGAAGCACGGGTTTGAGCCGGTCGTCCCATCGCCAGTCGACCGAGAGGTCCGGCTCCCACCATTCTTCCGATTCGTTATAAGCCACGGTGAGGCTGCGGAAGAAGCGGTTGAGGTGCGCCAGCTTCAGCTCCGCCAGCGCGGGATTGGAGCTCACGCGATACGTCTGCGCGCGCGCTGCAGTTGCGCAGGAGGGGGGGTCGGGGGGACGGGAGGTGAGGGAGTGGAAGGGGAGTTCAAAGGTTGAAGCGGAGAGGAGGAGAGGAGGGAACCGAGGGAGGAAGACACGGGATGAGCGGAGGTCGCGCTAGAGGCCTGCGTCGCGCGCTGCGGGTTAGAGGTGGTGGAGAGGAAGCGGTTGAGGTGAGCCAGCTTCAGCTCCGCCAGCGCGGGATTGGAGCTCACGCGGAACGCCTGCGCGCGCGCTGCGGTTTGCAGGCGGGGAAGTGGGGGGAAAAGGGGAGGTGAGGGAGTGGAAGGCGGGGACGGAAGGTTGGGGCGGAGACGGGAAGAGGAGGGAACGGGGGGAGGGGGAAGAAACGGGATGAGCGGAGGTCGCTTTGACGGCTGCCGGTTCGAGGAGGGGGAGAGGAAGCGGTTGGGGTGCGCCAGCTTCAGCTCCGCCAGGGCGGGATTGGAGCTCACGCGGTACGTCTGCGCGAGCGCTGCAGATTTGCAGAGGATGGGGAAGGGAGATGAGGGAGTGGAAGGGGGAGACGGAAGGTTGGGGCGGAGAGGAAAGGAATGGGGGAGGGAAACCGGGGGAAGAAGAAACGGGATGAGCGGAGGTCCGCTCTAGAGGCTTGCGGGGCGCGCTGCAGGTTAGAGGTGGTGGAGAGGAAGCGGTTGAGGTGCGCCAGCTTCAGCTCCGCCAGCGCGGGATTGGAGCTCACGCGGAACGCCTGCGCGCGCGCTGCGATTGCACGGGAGGGGAAAGAGAGAGAACGAAGGAGAGGGGAGAGGGGGTGAGAGGAGGAGCGGAATGGGGGAGGAAATAAGGGGAGGAAGAAACGGGATGGGCAGAGTTTCGCTCTGAAGGCATGCGCGAGGCGCTGCTGGTTGGGGAAGTGGGGGGTGAGGGACGCGGGAAGGGAAAACGAGACGTGAAGGGGGAACCAGGAAAGCGGGGGACTAGAGAAGGTGCGGGGGGGAGAAGGACTGGTGCTCATCGCCTCCGCGCGTACTGAGCGTCCGCGCGCGTGCTGTGCGCCTGCGCGCGCTCTGCACGTCTGCGCTGCGTTCTCCGCGCGCTGCGCGTCTGCGCGCGTGCTGCAAGGACATCGGGCGGAGAGGACAGGAAGTGCGGAGCTTGGGAGCTCTCCTTCTGGCTTCACACTCCCGAGCCGTCCGATTCTTTACACACACTCAGATCCAAAATCCTGGTCGTCGTTGGATCATCCTGTCCGACGGTCTCGATGAGCGCGCTTCCGTCACAGTCTGAGTAGCGATAGAAACAGAACGATCCATCAGGCGAGGCTACAAATCTAGCAAGCGGCGATGTTGACGGAAGGACGGACCTTGGAGGGCGACGAGGCAGGTCGCGGCGATGAGAGCGACCGACAGGCGGAACACGTTGAGGCGCGGGGGAGGGCGAGCGGAGATCCGCATTGCGCCGATTGTTCCGCGGAAGCTACCGCTGCTCGTATGTCGCCCGTTGTACAATCGAATGTGCTTCTACCAATAGAGCCAGCAATCCGGCAATGAAGCTACGGTCGAAAACTGAAAAGCGAAAACTCAATAGCGAGTGTCGTACTGTCACGAGTTCACGTACAGAGGCACCAGCAAGGTGATCGAATATTCGCGAATAAGGGTTGATCGCAAGCAGACCAAGCGTGAGGCAAGAAGCTGCCTGTCTTCAATCGATGCACTACAACCGATGCCTGTCGAATCAAAGCGGTTCGAACGGTGTAATTCAGAAAAAGAAAGCGCGCGGGCGGTAAGCGATTTCGTAAAATGGAGCACTTCCTATACTCTCTTCTTGAAGGGCATGAGTTTTGGGGACGTCTCGAAAACTCTCTCCTATCGCGAGGCGATTCCGTGGAATTGGAGCACTTCCTATACAGTACTCTTCTTGAAGGGCCTGAGCCTGGGGGTTCGAGCAACGAGCCGTGAATGACGCAATTATTGGAGGTTGCGAGCTTGGAGGCGCGTGAATGCGAGGGGAAACAAAGCTGACGACGATCACAGGAGTGGGGGAGGTGGGATTGGAGCCAGACGGGAGGATCAATTCTACAGGCTATGGTGTGATTGCCACCTACACTCGACTCGAGTGATGATGAGTGGCTCGCTCGATGCTGCTTGTGTGATGGTGGTGGATGGGGGTGATAACGGCGACGTCTTGCATGAACGTCGCTCGCATCGCATCGCAAACCTGGTGTAGAGTGCTTTGCACTGGCGAGCTGGAATGGAACACGTCGTAAGAAGGGAGGAGAGGAGGGGAAGGGTTTGGGTGAGGTGGGGAACGGGAGGGAGCGACAGACGCAGGAGCTGGTGTAGGTGAGATGAGGACGCTGAGCGAAGGAATGCGACAGAATGAAGAGGTCCACCCCACGGAGGCTGAGCTGAGCGAGGGAATGCGACACAGTAACGGACGGTTTTCGTCGCATAGCCTCAGGCACGCATCACCTGTCCACCTCAGCGCTAAGGAATCTGGAAGCACGGAAGCTGTTTACCGACGTGAAGGGTAGTATACCCGTATGTACCGATTCGAGCCATATCTAACCGAACTTGTCCTCTCTGAACTGAGCCGTGAGGTGATATTCTGCAAAAGTGGTAGACCAGGAAACCGCGTCAAATCGCGTGGAGGGGAAGGGAGTGAGGGAGGGAGCCACGATTCGTCGCTCATCTTCTGCTCGGCATTTCTACTGTAGCACTGCGTTGAATTTGAAACATGGAGACGTCGCCTCATGTTCTTGGCGGTTCATGCCATGCGTGGTTTGGTCGGGGGGGTGGATTGCGTGGTGTAGAGTGGGGCGGATGCTGTGGGGGTCAGAAAAAAACTGTTCATGAGTGGTTTGAAGGAGTTTGAATTTACTGTACTGTACTGTATGATGTGGCTGTGGGGAGGGCTGGGGTCTGGTCCAGCGGATCCCTCCGAGGCGCAGATTCAGAATCTCGACGTTGACCCTGTCAAAACAGAACCACCTGCTCACCGCCGAAAAATCTTGCCGCGCCCTGCGGCGATGGTGAGCCCGCCTGAACACCATGCGTTCAGTACGGCTTTCCCGTGTGGTAACAAGTAGTGTTACTTTCAGATATTATAGCGCAACTTTATGTAGGAAGGTGTGCAAAATATGACAGAAAGCGAAACTGGCAATGTCGAAGGTACCAGGTAAACTGAGCTTCCCTTCTTCCACCCTGCGTCGCAGTTTTCCGAGTTGCGATTATTCTTCGCCAGTCCACCATGCGTTTGTCCAATACGGCGATCACCGTCATCGTAGCTGGCGTCGGTGCCGCTATTGCCTCCCTCTACAGTCACTTTCGACAGAATCGGTCTTTTTACGACGACGGAACGCGCTTCGCCTGGACTCGCGTTTTAACGAATTTCCAAGCGGTTGCGGAGGCCACGCTCCTAGCAGCGTCTGTGACGGTTGTGTTAGCGCTGACGGCCGAGTGGTTACTCTTGCCAGTCCGGCATCTCAGGATACTCGCCTCGCAATGGATTCGACCACCGTCCGAATCAGGCGAGACGGGATACGCGTTACTAGTAGGCTTGGTATTCGTCCAAGCATCCGCGCTTTGATCAGATTCTCTTGAGCCTCCATATGCTGTTGAACACCTAACGTGTTTCCGGCGGACCCTGTCGCAAATTCCGGGAGTTCGCATGCTTTTACATAAGTGTAAATGAGCGAACGTAATATTTGTGAGATTGCGTACGGTGACCGCCGATCATCCATTCCGCCTGCCGCGGAACCCCCCGGCGCACCGCAGCAGGTGCGGAGCAGCGAGAGGACGCTGCGCTGCGCTTGGGGGTTCCGCTCCCTCACGGGGTTTCCGCACACCCGCTGTTGGTTCTTTGGATTCTGGAATTCCCTAGAATTTCTCGTGAGGAAGCGGCAGCAGCGAATTATGAGCAGCAAAATAATGAACAGCGAATTATGAGCAGCAAAATAATGAGCAGCGAATCATGAGCAGCAAAATAATGAGCAGCGAATTATGAGCAGCAAAATAATGAGCAGCGAATTATGAGCAGCGAATCCTCGTGCACAGATTCTTTAGATGATATCATAGTCAATCGTGAATCGTCGTCTCCCACCTCCCCTTTCCTTCCCCCACCCCCCACCCTTCCCCCCTCCCTTTCTCCCCTTCCCGCAGCAGGGGCAGAGGCAGAGCAGCGAGAGGAGGCGGTGGTGGGCGTGAGGGAGCGGCAGCAGCGGCGACTGGAGGAGGAGGCGAAGGCTGCAGCTGAGGAGAGAGTGAGTGGCGTTAAGGGGGGGAGCGAGAAGGGTGGGGTTAGAGAGGGATGGGGGGGAGGAAGATTTAAGTAGACGCGGAGGCCGAGAGAGTGAGTGGCGCGAGGGAGGAGAGGGAAGGGGGATGGGGAAGTGGGGAGGGGAAGGTATCTCCTGCTGACTTGCCCCATCTCGCATCCTTGTTCTGAGACGTCTCAAATTTGACTGCAACCCACAGGCGCTCGTGCAGAGCAGGCACAGCAGGGGGAGGAGGTGCGGCAGTAGAGAAGGCACAGCTGTGCGTCCTCCCCCTGCCCCTGCTGCAGCAGTAGAGAAGCCCAGCCGAGGCCACTCAGTGCGAACCAAAGGTCTGGGTGAAAGGTACCAGCAGGGCCAGCAGGCAGTTTGAGTCGACTCAAAAGTCGTCTGGGTGAAAGGTACCAGCAGGGCCAGCAGGCAGTTTGAGTCGACTCAAAAGTCGTCTGGGTGAAAGGTACCAGCAGGGCCAGCAGGCAGTTTGAGTCGACTCAAAAGTCGTCTGGGTGAAAGGTACCAGCAGGGCCAGCAGGCAGTTTGAGTCGACTCAAAAGTCGTCTGGGTGAAAGGTACCAGCAGGGCCAGCAGGCAGTTTGAGTCGACTCAAAAGTCGTCTGGGTGAAAGGTACCAGCAGGGCCAGCAGGCAGTTTGAGTCGACTCAAAAGTCGTCTGGGTGAAAGGTACCAGCAGGGCCAGCAGGCAGTTTGAGTCGACTCAAAAGTCGTCTGGGTGAAAGGTACCAGCAGGGCCAGCAGGCAGTTTGAGTCGACTCAAAAGTCGTCTGGGTGAAAGGTACCAGCAGGGCCAGCAGGCAGTTTGAGTCGACTCAAAAGTCGTCTGGGTGAAAGGTACCAGCAGGGCCAGCAGGCAGTTTGAGTCGACTCAAAAGTCGTCTGGGTGAAAGGTACCAGCAGGGCCAGCAGGCAGTTTGAGTCGACTCAAAAGTCGTCTGGGTGAAAGGTACCAGCAGGGCCAGCAGGCAGTTTGAGTCGACTCAAAAGTCGTCTGGGTGAAAGGTACCAGCAGGGCCAGCAGGCAGTTTGAGTCGACTCAAAAGTCGTCTGGGTGAAAGGTACCAGCAGGGCCAGCAGGCAGTTTGAGTCGACTCAAAAGTCGTCTGGGTGAAAGGTACCAGCAGGGCCAGCAGGCAGTTTGAGTCGACTCAAAAGTCGTCTGGGTGAAAGGTACCAGCAGGGCCAGCAGGCAGTTTGAGTCGACTCAAAAGTCGTCTGGGTGAAAGGTACCAGCAGGGCCAGCAGGCAGTTTGAGTCGACTCTAAAGTCGTCTGGGTGAAAGGTACCAGCAGGGCCAGCAGGCAGTTTGAGTCGACTCAAAAGTCGTCTGGGTGAAAGGTACTAGCAGGGCCAGCAGGCAGTTTGAGTCGACTCAAAAGTCGTCTGGGTGAAAGGTACCAGCAGGGCCAGCAGGCAGTTTGAGTCGACTCAAAAGTCGTCTGGGTGAAAGGTACCAGCAGGGCCAGCAGGCAGTTTGAGTCGACTCAAAAGTCGTCTGGGTGAAAGGTACCAGCAGGGCCAGCAGGCAGTTTGAGTCGACTCAAAAGTCGTCTGGGTGAAAGGTACCAGCAGGGCCAGCAGGCAGTTTGAGTCGACTCAAAAGTCGTCTGGGTGAAAGGTACCAGCAGGGCCAGCAGGCAGTTTGAGTCGACTCAAAAGTCGTCTGGGTGAAAGGTACCAGCAGGGGCAGCAGGCAGTTTGAGTCGACTCAAAAGTCGTCTGGGTGAAAGGTACCAGCAGGGCCAGCAGGCAGTTTGAGTCGACTCAAAAGTCGTCTGGGTGAAAGGTACCAGCAGGGCCAGCAGGCAGTTTGAGTCGACTCAAAAGTCGTCTGGGTGAAAGGTACCAGCAGGGCCAGCAGGCAGTTTGAGTCGACTCAAAAGTCGTCTGGGTGAAAGGTACTAGCAGGGCCAGCAGGCAGTTTGAGTCGACTCAAAAGTCGTCTGGGTGAAAGGTACCAGCAGGGCCAGCAGGCAGTTTGAGTCGACTCAAAAGTCGTCTGGGTGAAAGGTACCAGCAGGGCCAGCAGGCAGTTTGAGTCGACTCAAAAGTCGTCTGGGTGAAAGGTACCAGCAGGGCCAGCAGGCAGTTTGAGTCGACTCAAAAGTCGTCTGGGTGAAAGGTACCAGCAGGGCCAGCAGGCAGTTTGAGTCGACTCAAAAGTCGTCTGGGTGAAAGGTACCAGCAGGGCCAGCAGGCAGTTTGAGTCGACTCAAAAGTCGTCTGGGTGAAAGGTACCAGCAGGGGCAGCAGGCAGTTTGAGTCGACTCAAAAGTCGTCTGGGTGAAAGGTACCAGCAGGGCCAGCAGGCAGTTTGAGTCGACTCAAAAGTCGTCTGGGTGAAAGGTACCAGCAGGGCCAGCAGGCAGTTTGAGTCGACTCAAAAGTCGTCTGGGTGAAAGGTACCAGCAGGGCCAGCAGGCAGTTTGAGTCGACTCAAAAGTCGTCTGGGTGAAAGGTACCAGCAGGGCCAGCAGGCAGTTTGAGTCGACTCTAAAGTCGTCTGGGTGAAAGGTACCAGCAGGGCCAGCAGGCAGTTTGAGTCGACTCAAAAGTCGTCTGGGTGAAAGGTACTAGCAGGGCCAGCAGGCAGTTTGAGTCGACTCAAAAGTCGTCTGGGTGAAAGGTACCAGCAGGGCCAGCAGGCAGTTTGAGTCGACTCAAAATTCGTCTGGGTGAAAGGTACCAGCAGGGCCAGCAGGCAGTTTGAGTCGACTCAAAAGTCGTCTGGGTGAAAGGTACCAGCAGGGCCAGCAGGCAGTTTGAGTCGACTCAAAAGTCGTCTGGGTGAAAGGTACCAGCAGGGCCAGCAGGCAGTTTGAGTCGACTCAAAAGTCGTCTGGGTGAAAGGTACCAGCAGGGCCAGCAGGCAGTTTGAGTCGACTCAAAAGTCGTCTGGGTGAAAGGTACCAGCAGGGCCAGCAGGCAGTTTGAGTCGACTCAAAATTCGTCTGGGTGAAAGGTACCAGCAGGGCCAGCAGGCAGTTTGAGTCGACTCAAAAGTCGTCTGGGTGAAAGGTACCAGCAGGGCCAGCAGGCAGTTTGAGTCGACTCAAAAGTCGTCTGGGTGAAAGGTACCAGCAGGGCCAGCAGGCAGTTTGAGTCGACTCAAAAGTCGTCTGGGTGAAAGGTACCAGCAGGGCCAGCAGGCAGTTTGAGTCGACTCAAAAGTCGTCTGGGTGAAAGGTACCAGCAGGGGCAGCAGGCAGTTTGAGTCGACTCAAAAGTCGTCTGGGTGAAAGGTACCAGCAGGGCCAGCAGGCAGTTTGAGTCGACTCAAAAGTCGTCTGGGTGAAAGGTACCAGCAGGGCCAGCAGGCAGTTTGAGTCGACTCAAAAGTCGTCTGGGTGAAAGGTACCAGCAGGGCCAGCAGGCAGTTTGAGTCGACTCAAAAGTCGTCTGGGTGAAAGGTACCAGCAGGGCCAGCAGGCAGTTTGAGTCGACTCAAAAGTCGTCTGGGTGAAAGGTACCAGCAGGGCCAGCAGGCAGTTTGAGTCGACTCAAAAGTCGTCTGGGTGAAAGGTACCAGCAGGGCCAGCAGGCAGTTTGAGTCGACTCAAAAGTCGTCTGGGTGAAAGGTACTAGCAGGGCCAGCAGGCAGTTTGAGTCGACTCAAAAGTCGTCTGGGTGAAAGGTACCAGCAGGGCCAGCAGGCAGTTTGAGTCGACTCAAAATTCGTCTGGGTGAAAGGTACCAGCAGGGCCAGCAGGCAGTTTGAGTCGACTCAAAAGTCGTCTGGGTGAAAGGTACCAGCAGGGCCAGCAGGCAGTTTGAGTCGACTCAAAAGTCGTCTGGGTGAAAGGTACCAGCAGGGCCAGCAGGCAGTTTGAGTCGACTCAAAAGTCGTCTGGGTGAAAGGTACCAGCAGGGCCAGCAGGCAGTTTGAGTCGACTCAAAAGTCGTCTGGGTGAAAGGTACCAGCAGGGCCAGCAGGCAGTTTGAGTCGACTCAAAAGTCGTCTGGGTGAAAGGTACCAGCAGGGCCAGCAGGCAGTTTGAGTCGACTCAAAAGTCGTCTGGGTGAAAGGTACCAGCAGGGCCAGCAGGCAGTTTGAGTCGACTCAAAAGTCGTCTGGGTGAAAGGTACCAGCAGGGCCAGCAGGCAGTTTGAGTCGACTCAAAAGTCGTCTGGGTGAAAGGTACCAGCAGGGCCAGCAGGCAGTTTGAGTCGACTCAAAAGTCGTCTGGGTGAAAGGTACCAGCAGGGCCAGCAGGCAGTTTGAGTCGACTCAAAAGTCGTCTGGGTGAAAGGTACCAGCAGGGCCAGCAGGCAGTTTGAGTCGACTCAAAAGTCGTCTGGGTGAAAGGTACCAGCAGGGCCAGCAGGCAGTTTGAGTCGACTCAAAAGTCGTCTGGGTGAAAGGTACCAGCAGGGGCAGCAGGCAGTTTGAGTCGACTCAAAAGTCGTCTGGGTGAAAGGTACCAGCAGGGCCAGCAGGCAGTTTGAGTCGACTCAAAAGTCGTCTGGGTGAAAGGTACCAGCAGGGCCAGCAGGCAGTTTGAGTCGACTCAAAAGTCGTCTGGGTGAAAGGTACCAGCAGGGCCAGCAGGCAGTTTGAGTCGACTCAAAAGTCGTCTGGGTGAAAGGTACCAGCAGGGCCAGCAGGCAGTTTGAGTCGACTCAAAAGTCGTCTGGGTGAAAGGTACCAGCAGGGCCAGCAGGCAGTTTGAGTCGACTCAAAAGTCGTCTGGGTGAAAGGTACCAGCAGGGCCAGCAGGCAGTTTGAGTCGACTCAAAAGTCGTCTGGGTGAAAGGTACCAGCAGGGCCAGCAGGCAGTTTGAGTCGACTCAAAAGTCGTCTGGGTGAAAGGTACCAGCAGGGCCAGCAGGCAGTTTGAGTCGACTCAAAATTCGTCTGGGTGAAAGGTACCAGCAGGGCCAGCAGGCAGTTTGAGTCGACTCAAAAGTCGTCTGGGTGAAAGGTACCAGCAGGGCCAGCAGGCAGTTTGAGTCGACTCAAAAGTCGTCTGGGTGAAAGGTACCAGCAGGGCCAGCAGGCAGTTTGAGTCGACTCAAAAGTCGTCTGGGTGAAAGGTACCAGCAGGGCCAGCAGGCAGTTTGAGTCGACTCAAAAGTCGTCTGGGTGAAAGGTACCAGCAGGGCCAGCAGGCAGTTTGAGTCGACTCAAAAGTCGTCTGGGTGAAAGGTACCAGCAGGGCCAGCAGGCAGTTTGAGTCGACTCAAAAGTCGTCTGGGTGAAAGGTACCAGCAGGGCCAGCAGGCAGTTTGAGTCGACTCAAAAGTCGTCTGGGTGAAAGGTACCAGCAGGGCCAGCAGGCAGTTTGAGTCGACTCAAAAGTCGTCTGGGTGAAAGGTACCAGCAGGGCCAGCAGGCAGCTTGAGTCGACTCAAAAGTCGTCTGGGTGAAAGGTACCAGCAGGGCCAGCAGGCAGTTTGAGTCGACTCAAAAGTCGTCTGGGTGAAAGGTACCAGCAGGGCCAGCAGGCAGTTTGAGTCGACTCAAAAGTCGTCTGGGTGAAAGGTACCAGCAGGGCCAGCAGGCAGTTTGAGTCGACTCAAAAGTCGTCTGGGTGAAAGGTACCAGCAGGGCCAGCAGGCAGTTTGAGTCGACTCAAAAGTCGTCTGGGTGAAAGGTACCAGCAGGGCCAGCAGGCAGTTTGAGTCGACTCAAAAGTCGTCTGGGTGAAAGGTACCAGCAGGGCCAACAGGCAGTTTGAGTCGACTCAAAAGTCGTCTGGGTGAAAGGTACCAGCAGGGCCAGCAGGCAGGCGCAGGAGCAAGAGAGAGGAGTGCAAAGCTCATTCCGCCCCCTCATCCCCCCTCTTTCCACAGGCGCGCGTGCAGGCGCAGCAGCGGGAGGAGGCACGGCAAGCAGCAGTGGCAGCACTAGAAGCGAGCCGAGGGCGCTCTCTGCGTTCCCCAGGCCCTGGTGAAAAGGACCAGCAAGGAAAACAGGTCTCGGACTCAAGCCGGGAGGGCGGAACAAGCGAACCAGGAGGAGGAGGACGAGCAGTATTGATGGGGGGTGAATCGGGTGCTTTGGGAGGCGGTAGAGAGGGAGATAGCAATAGTGGTGGCTATGAGGGTGCTGGGGTTGTAAGGCGGCGCAGGGGAGGTGTTGGAGTGCAGGAGGGAGGGAGAGAGGGCGAGGATGGGGATGAGGTGGGAGAAATTATTGGAAGGGGGGAAGGGCGAGTGGGAATGGAGCGTGGAAGGTGGAGGACAGCTGCATCACTGGAAGCAGAGAAAGAGAGGAAGAGGCAGGTACGGTGAGGGGAGTGGGGGCAGGTACGCGGTAAGGTTACCACATAAACCACATCAGAAAGTTTGTAACCCTTCTGCTCCTCAAACGTCTCTCCTGTTCTGTGGGACCCAGCCTATGCGGCCTTTCGATTTGAGTGAAACGTCTCAGAGGTGAATTTGCTTCTTATCAACCTCTCTCAACCTCTTTCCACCCTCTTTTCGTTTCCCACAGGACGCAGCCTTTGCAGCCTCGTTGCGGCGGGATCGGGCGATTGAGGAGAGGCGGAGAGCGGAGGAGGAGAAGAGGAGGAGAGAGGCGGAGGAGCAAGAGCGGATTAAAGAAGAGGAGAGAAGAGCGGAGGAGCAGAGGCAAAAGGAGGAGGAGGAGAGAAGAAGAGCAGAGGAAGAGAGGAAACGAATAGAGGAGGTGAGAGGGATAGCCAGTTAAGACGATTGAACAGTCTTGATCATTCTTCTATTCCGCTATGACCTCATGAGAAGCGAACAGCCACATTCTGGTGACTTCTGTGTTGAGTCATAAACCACCCCTGACTTAAAGCCACGCTTTTCGCGTGTCAGATGAGAGTCCTATTCCGTTTTTTCATCTCTTTGTCTCCCTCCAGGAACGGCGGGAGCACTACAGACGATTGCTGCCGCCCGAGCCGGGAGCTGACGTGGCGGGTGAGGAGAGGGCAGTGGTGGCGGTGCGGCTGCCATCGGGGGTGGTGTTTAAGCGGGAGTGGCAGAGAGCAGACACAGTGGGCGACATTTATAACTGGGTGCGTGGTGACCATATATGATGAGTGATTTTTTAACATGTCATGATCACTCCTCATTGCATTTTTTTCGATGTTCAGCTATTCAAACCCGCTCCTGTTCCCCCCTCTTTTCCCCTTTTCACCAACTCTCTCACCCGTTACAGCTGCACACGCTCCCGCCAAAGAACCTCCCCCCCTTCCCCCTCTCGCGCGCGGCTCTAGCCACCACCTTTCCCCGCCGCCTGCTGCCCCTCTCCTCCTCTGCAGCCGTCTCCCTAGAGCAGGCGGACCTGTGCCCGCGAGCAGTGCTGGTGCTGGAAGAGCAAATGAACGAGAGCGAGATTGAGGGGCCTAGGGATGTGTAGTGTCTTGGCCGAGGCATCACCCTCTGTTTCCATTTAGTGCCTGCTGCCCCGCGCCTCCTCTCCAGCCGTCTCCCTAGAGCAGGCAGACCTGTGTCCGAGAGCAGTGCTGGTGCTGGAAGAGCAGATGAATGAGAGTGAGAATGAGGTGAGGGGGCAGGGGAATGTCAAGGCGAAGGGTCTACACTTGTATAGTGATTAGATTAGGGAATTTGGTCAAGGCATTAGCCCTCTGCCCCTCACCTCCTCTGCAGCCCTCTCCCTAGCGAATGCAGACCTGTGCCCGCAAGGAGTGCTGGTGGTGGAAGAGGAGATGAATGAGAGCGAGGGGGTTGATGAATGAGTAGACCCCTTTCGTTGTATGCATTCATTCATAGGCCAATGACTTGGTTATTATCGTTTGGGGCAATTGGAAAGTTCCCACCAGTGCCCTAGTGTATACAGATGAGAGACTTGATGTGGGACATGTATTTGTTCGCGCAGTCTTTGTGGGGTAAACGAGACTGGTTTTTATGTTAAATGGTATGTGGAGGAAGCAGCCATGGTGTGCCTCAGGGTACATTCCCACGGGGACATTTGTGTCAAAATCCCAAATTTCTTTATGCGCAAAAACATGGCCAGCAGCTCCTTCCCATTGGGACCCAGATGCACCTCATCTGGACCGTCAGCGACGCTCAGAGTGCAGGCTGCCGCTCACAGACAGGCGAGAGGGAACGATCCTGTAAGGCCAAGCCCAAACCCACGCCCACCCCTTTGCTCTTCGCCCCAGTTCTGATTCCCTGCCAACTGCTGGAAACTCGAGAGTCAGATTGAGCCATGCCTCTCTCTACAACCGGGCTAAATTCCTGCTCCCACCTGACCTCCCACTGACCCCACCCGAGCTGCCACTTCTCCCAAACCCCAGTTCTGACTCCCTGCCAAGTTCCAGAAACTCGAGCCATGCCTCCCTCTACAACCGGGCTAAATTCCTTCTCCCACCGGAACCCCCCCACTCCCACGCGAGTTGCCACTCCTCCCGTCCCTCCCCGTCATCTTCTTCTGCCAATCCCGCAGCTCCTTCTTCCCGGGGAGGCCAGGTGCACCTCATTTGGGCCGTCCGGCGATGCGCAGAGTGCGGGCTGCCGTCCACAGGCGGGCAAGCGGGAAGTCTGAGCTCACCCCCCCGCCCCCGTTCCCATCCTCCGCCTCCAATTTTGCGCCTCATTCTCACTGCATGCGTAAGCCTTTATCGCATATGAGCCCCATAAGCGGCCTCATTCCCATGTAGACTCCAAATTCTCCAGTTCTCTACAACCGGGCTGACCCTCCACTCTTACCCGACCTGCCACTCCTGGCACCCCCCATCATCTTCTTCTGCCAATCTCGCAGCTCCTTCTTTCCAATCGAAGCCAGGTGCACCTCATCTGGACCGTCAGCAATGCGCAGAGTGCGCGCTGCCGTCCACAGGCGGGCAAGCGGGAAGTCTGAGCTCACCCCCCCGCCCCCATGCACCTGGATTGCCCTGTCGAGAACTTTTTGAGCTGCCCGGGGCGCAGCCACCTGGAATAACGGGAGGGAGGAAGGAAAAGTGGAAAGCACGGGTAATGAAAGGATGGAGAAACGAGTTTGAGACATCCCAAAGCAGAAGAGGAAAGGGAGGAGATATGATGTTGAGGCACGCCATGCCATGTGCCATTTGGACGTGGAAATTTTTGGATGAGCTGAAAATTCACACGTGTGTGCCTCTCACTTACCTTGGCCATGAAAATAGCAATTCGTGCCTCCTTGTTCCCCTTGGCATTCAACTCAGCTGCCGCCTGCAGCACCAGCAGCCGTGCCGGGTACTATTGAAACACAGACTCTTTGAGGTCTACTGAAGCATCACAGGGTTCCTCTCACCCACCTTAGCCATGGCAATGGCAATTCGAGCCTCCTTGTTCCCCTTGGCATCCAACTCAGCAGCCGCCTGCAGCACCAGCAGCCGTGCCGCCTCCAGCGTGATGCGGCATTCGGCAGTATCCCGCACCACCGACTCGTTGCCGCCCAGCGGGCGCCCGAACGCCACCCGGGAGAGAGCCCGCTGGAGCATGCAGTCCATGGCTCGCTCTGTGGCTCCTATCAGCCTCATGCAGTGGTGCAACCGACCGGGACCCAACCGACCCTGGTAGCACACCCAGGCACCAGTGAAAGCAAGTGAGGAGGAGGGAGGGAGGGAGGGTGAGGGGGGAAGGAATGTTCAGGTTGGAGAGAGAGCAGCTGAGAGCATGCAGTCCATGGCTCGCTCCGTGGCTCCTATCAGCCGCATGCAGTGGTGCAGCCGACCGGGACCCAACCGACCCTGGTAGCACACCCAGGCAGCAGCGAAAGCAAGTGGAGTGGAAGGAGGGGAAAGTGGGGGGCCAGCCGGGGATGGGAGGAGAGGATATAATGGGCTGGAGAGGGCATGGGAGAGCATGCAGTCCATGGCTCGCTCCGTGGCTCCTATCAGCCGCATGCAGTGGTGCAGCCGACCGGGACCCAAGCGACCCTGGTCAGAAGGAGGAGGGGGAGTGGTGGCGGGGAAGTAGGAAGATGACATCATGTCGCACCTGCTGCACCTGCTGCACCTGCCGCAGGCTAAACACCTAGTGGGCCCCCTTCATCTCACCTGAGCAATCTCAAAGCCTCGTCCTTCTCCCAGCAGCACACTTGTCTTGGGCACTCTCGCCACTTCAAATGCCTCGGAGTGCCCATGTGGGGATCGTCATACCCAAACACCAGCAGCGGCGGATAGCAGGAACACCCAATGCAGCAGCTGCTTTTGAACACCTGATGCAAGAAAATCCTAATATTGCCTCACCTGTGCGATCTCGAAGCCTCGGCCTTCTCCCAGCAGCACGTTGGTCTTGGGCACTCGCACCCCTTCAAACAGCACCTCGGAGTGCCCGTGCGGGGCATCATCATACCCAAACACCAGCAGCGGCCGCACCACCGTCACCCCAGGGGCATTCATGCCAGCATGGACTGCTGCTGCCTGATGCAAAAACACACCTAGTGGGTCCGGGTCTCACCTGGGCTATCTCGAAGCCGCGTCCTTCACCTAGTAGCACACTCGTCTTCGGAACTTTGACCCCTTCAAACAGCACCTCGGAGTGCCCATGCGGGGCATCATCATACACAAACACCAGCAGTGGCCGCACCACCGTCACCCCAGGGGCAGTCATGGGGACGAGCAGCCCACACATGACCGCGCCTGCCTGTGTGCAGGCGCGGAGTGGGGACCGGAGGGAGCAGCTCACACATGATGCAGGGTCTACAACTAGTAGAGGCTCCCGTTCTCCTCACCTGGGCAATCTCAAAGCCTCGCCCTTCGCCCAGCAGCACGTTCGCCTTGGGCACTTTAACCCCTTCAAACAGCACCTCAGAGTGCCCATGCGGTGCATCGTCATACCCAAACACCAGCAGCGGCCGCACCACCGTCACCCCAGGGGCACTCCTGGGCACGAGCAGCATGGACTGCTGCCTGTGTACACAAACACACCTAGTGCGTCCGGGTCTCACCTGGGCTATCTCGAAGCCGCGTCCTTCACCTAGTAGCACACTCGTCTTCGGAACTTTGACCCCCTCAAACAGCACCTCGGAGTGCCCTGCCCATGCGGCGCATCATTATACCCAAACACCAGCAACAGATAGCAGCTGCACCCGATGCACCTGCCCGTTCTGCTCACCTGGGCAATCTCAAAACCTCGCCCTTCGCCCAGCAGCACGTTCGCCTTGGGCACTTTAACCCCTTCAAACAGCACCTCGGAGTGCCCGTGCGGTGCATCATCATACCCAAACACCAGCAGCGGCCGCACCACCGTTACCCCAGGGGCATTCATGGGCACGAGCAGCATGGACTGCTGCCTGTGTGCGGGCGCGGAGTGGGGACCAGAGGACGCGGCTCGCTCGGGGTGTTTGCCCATGAAGATGGCGAGCTGGCAGCGCGGGTCAGACGCACCGCTGGCCCACCACTTGTGGGCGTGTAAGATATAGTGGTCTTCCGCACTGCACGGGAATGTGGAGGCGAGGGAGTGATGCGCGAGTAAGTCGACTCAAAAACCACCTCTGCTGCCTGTGTGCCGGCAAGGAGTGGGGGACAGAAGGAGTGGAGTGGGGCCCGGAGGGAGCGGCTTGCTCAGGGTGTTTGGCCATGAAGATGGCGAGCTGGCAGCACGGGTCACTGACTCCACTGGCCCACCACTTGTGGGCAATGCTCTCCCGCACTGCATGGGGGTGAGGAAGCGGGGGATGATAAGTCAGTCCACTCAGAAAGGGTCGCTGGCAGCGCTGGCCCACCACTTGTGGCCTTGCAGGATGTAATGCTCTCCCGCACTGCATAGGGAAGAAGGGGGGGTGGTGCAGTGGGAATGGAGAAAGACGACGGGGTGTGTGTTTGAGTGAGAATCAGCAAGCATGAATTCAACGGCGCACACTCTCTGCACCTCTTTTGAGTGTAATCTCAACCACACCTGTCCATCCAACACTTCACAAGTGTGTGCGCACCTCGCAATCCACGCCCCAATGTTGGTGGCAGGCATCACTTGAAGCCACTCTTGGTTACGTCATGGCGAAGCACGAGCGCATCTTGCCCTCCAGCAGAGCAGGCTGTGGGGCAACTCACAGCACAAACAGAACTCCCTCCCTACACTGCCCAACACATCCACCTCACCCAGCCCACCTCTCTATCCTCGCTGCAATGTTGGTGGCATCGCTGGAAGCCACCCTCGGCTCTGTCATGGCGAAGCATGAGCGGATGTTGCCCTCCAGCAGAGCAGGTTGGGGGGCCGCCTCACCGCATGGTTGGGACTTCCTACACTGCAATGCCAAACAAACCCCCCACCTTACCTCTCTATTCTCGCCTCAATGTTGGTGGCATCACTGGTCGCCACTCATGGCTCCGTCATGGCGAAGCATGAGCGGATGTTGCCCTCCAGCAGACAAGGTCAGGGGGGCACCTCACACCTCTCTGTCCACACCTCTCTGTCCGCACCTCTCTATCCGAGCCTCAATATTGGTGGCATCACTTGAAGCCACTCTCGGCTCTGTCATGGTGAAGCACAAGCGGATCTTGCCCTCCAGCAGAGCAGGTTGGGGGGCAACCTTATGTCACGATTGGCAGCCCCTGTACTGCAATCCCAAACACACCCGCCCAGCCTACCTCTCTATCCGCGCCTCGATGTTGGTGGCATCGCTGGACGCCACTCGTGGTTCCGTCATGGCGAAGCACGAACGGATCTTGCCCTCCAGCAGAGCAGGTTGGGGGGCAACCTTATGTCACGATTGGCAGCCCCTGTACTGCAATCCCAAACACACCCGCCCAGCCTACCTCTCTATCCGCGCCTCAATGTTGGTGGCATCGCTGGACGCCACTCGTGGTTCCGTCATGGCGAAGCACGAACGGATCTTGCCTTCTAGAAGAGGCACCAGCCACTCCCGTTGCTGCTGCTCGTTGCCGTAGCGCAGGAGAACCTGGTTGGTGGGAGGGGAGCGAGAGAGGTGATAGCTGGGTAACAAATATGACAGCAGCTGTTGTTACAGAGAAACAATCGTGGTGTGGTGAGGCTGTGTGGTTACAACAGGTGCACGAAGCACGAGCGGATGCTGCCAGGGGCTCTAGAAGAGGCACCAGCCACTCAACTTGCAGACATCCGTTGATTCATGCATGCAAGGGAAACACACAGAACATGTAACCGTCGTAGAGAAACAGGCGAGGGAAGCTGAATGAGGCGATCAGCAAGCCAAAGGAAGGTATCACTCAGTTCCCACTCAACACCTTTCCACTGCATAAAACCTTGGCCCACAGCACTGAACCACACTTCATTGCACTGAACCCCTTCATCTCATCCAACCTCCATGTTGCCTGTGTTGGGCGCGGAGCAGTTGAAGAGCTCAGGCGCCCACACGCTCTTGCCCATCTCCTTGCACACGTGCGCATAGTCCAGATTCGACAGCCTCGCCCTTAGCAGCCGAACCCTATCCCACCGCACTAAACCGCATTCCACCGCACTGAGCCTCATCCCACCCCACTGAACCACACTCCACCGCACTAGACCCATTTATCCACACCTCCATGTTGCCTGTGTCAGGCGCGGAGCAGTTGAAGAGCTCAGGCGCCCACACGCTCTTGCCCATCTCCTTGCACACGTGCGCATAGTCCAGATTCGACAGCCTCGCCCTTAGCAGCCGAATCCTATCCCACCGCACTAAACCGCATTCCACCGCACTGAGCCTCATCCCACCCCACTGAACCACACTCCACCGCACTAGACCCATTTATCCACACCTCCATGTTGCCTGTGTCAGGCGCGGAGCAGTTGAAGAGCTCAGGCGCCCACACGCTCTTGCCCATCTCCTTGCACACGTGCGCATAGTCCAGATTCGACAGCCCTGCTCCCAGCAGCCCCCGGCTCTGGCACTCGTGCAGGACAGGCGTTACTGGCACACCTGCATCCTGACATGGGGGTTTGGGGATGGGAAGTGGTGGTTGGGCGGCTTTTGAGTCGGCTCAGAAATCAGATTCGACAGCCCCACCCCCAGCAGCCCCTGGCTCTGGCACTCGCGCAGGACAGGCGTCACTGGCACACCTGCATCCTGACATGGGGTTTGAGGGGGAAAGGGTGGTGGGTTTCTTAGTCCATGCAACAACCAGATTCGACAGCCCTGCCCCCAGCAGCCCCCGGCTCTGGCACTCGCGAAGCACAGGCATTACAGGCACACCTGCGTCCTGAGAGAGGGGAGGGGGAGAGGGGGGGAGTGGTTTGAGCAGAATCAGAAATCAGATTCGACAGCCCCGCCCCCAGCAGCCCCCGGCTCTGGCACTCGCGCAGGACAGGCGTTACAGGCACACCTGCATCCTGAGAGAGGGGAGAGGGAAAGGGGGGGAAATGGCGGAGAAGCTTGGGGACGGTGGGAAATGGCGTGCGCATGGTCCAGATTCGACAGCCCCACCCCCAGCAGCCCCCGGCTCTGGCACTCGCGCAGGACAGCCGTTACAGGCACACCTGCATCCTGAGAGAGGGGAGAGGGAAAGGGGGGGAAATGGCGGAGAAGCTTGGGGACGGTGGGAAATGGCGTGCGCATGGTCCAGATTCGACAGCCCCACCCCCAGCAGCCCCCGGCTCTGGCACTCGCGCAGGACAGGCGCTACAGGCACACCTGCATCCTGAGAGAGGGGAGGGCGAGGAGGGAGTGCGGAGGGCGCAGGGCAGAAGGCGCAGGACGGAGAGGGGAGGGTGGAGAGTGGAGGGCGGAGGGGAGAGGGCGAAGAGCGGAGAGAGGAGGGCGGAGAGTGGAGAGAGGAGGGCGGAGAGTGGATTGAGGAGGGCGGAAGGGAGAGGGCAGAGGGCGTATGGGAGCGCAGGAGGGCAAGAATGATGTTAGTGAGAGTTGTCCAGTCTGAGAGGGCTTATAGGGGGAGAGACGACGGTGGGAAGTGCGGAGGAGGGGGGGAAGGGTTGATGTCTGTTTTTGCACACATGAGCAGAGCACAGAACTCTTGAGGCACCTCAAAAACGTTTTGCGCAGATGAGCATAGTGCAGGACTCTATTTTCAGCGAATCTGCTCCCTCCCAGTAGCAATAGGCCAGTGGCCAAGCAGAAGAGCAGCAGTACAGCGACCTCTCATAGCCTGTCTTCATCCCCTCTAAAAGCATCGCCTCTTATGTCATTTAGATATAGCATGCCGCGACTCACCAGAGCGGGAATCCAGAGGTTCCACAGCCCAGCCTGCTTGCCTTCCCCTTCAATTGCTCCACCAGGGGGTGAATCGTCCACCGTGCCCCACTGCATGGGCCTCTGACACTTATCCCCTCTATAAGCACCACCGCTTATGTGTTACAGCAAGCCCGTAACTCACCAGAGCAGGAATCCAGAGGTTCCACAGACCAGCCTGCTTGGCCTTTTCCTTCAAATGCTCCACCAGGGGGTGAATCGTCCATCGTGCCTCCCCCACTGCATGCTCCTCCAGTATCCCCTCTATAGGCAGCACCTCTTGCGTTACAAACTCCGCCACTCGCCTCCTCAGCGCCTCGGCCCGCGGGCTGGGCGCCAGCCCCACTGGAAGAGACGGGGATCCTGGAACCGCACTGGATCCATCCCAACCCCCTGCTGCTGCTGAAGCATGTGTTCCCGTGCATTCAGGTGGTGGCGGTGGTGGTGGTTGGGCAGAGATGGATGGGGGTGAGTGCACCACGTGCAGGGCGCATGCTATGAGCCCAGCCACCTGACGACCCGCCTGGCCTGCCCTGCTGGACGACGCATTGCCCTGAGGGGGAGGAGGTGGAGGAAAAGGAAATGCGAGGCAAATGGGCGGATTCAGCACATGTAATGCAGGGCGCATGCTATGAGCCCAGCCACTTGACGACCCGCCTGGCCTGCCCTGCTGGACGACGCATTGCCCTGGTGGGGAAGGGGATGGGGAGGGGAGGGGGTACGAGCAGGGATGGAGGGGGGTGAGTGCACCACGTGCAAGGCGCATGCTATGCGCCCAGCCACTTGACGACCTGCCTGCCCTACCCTACTGGAGGACGCATTGCCCTGGTGGGGGGGAGAGCATGGGGAGGGGAGGGGGTACGAGCAGGAATGGAAGGGGGCGAGTGCACCACGTGCAGGGCGCATGCTATCAGGCCGGCCACCTGACGGCCCACCTGGCCTGCCCTGCTGGATGATGCATTGCCCTGAGGGGGAAGGAGGGGAGGACAGTGTACGGGAGAAGAGAGGTAAGGAAGGACGAGCTGGGGAGGGAAGAGCAGGGGGGACCGAATGGTGATTCATGCCCATGTAATGCGGCGATGCGATCAATGTGGGAGAAGCGCAACCACTCATTGCAGTATCTCTCATTCTGCACTACCTGCAGTGCGCGTTGGTAGATTCCTGTGAAGATAGCAGCGCCGCGGAAAAGCGAAAGGGCCACGTAAAAGCGCCAGGTGTCAACAGGCCATAGGCTGACGCCCTACACGCAGTGAACATACAGGGAAGGAGAGAGAGAAGGAGGTGACTGTGTCAAGAGACAGATTGAACCACTTTGGTAACCACTATGGTAAGATGTCGGGGGAACGATTTTAACCACAATGTGACAAGATGTTTCAGAGAAGAGCGTGGTCAAAAGGAAATCAACCACATTGCATGCTCATTCCATCAGTCGACTCTCTTCATCCTACCTGATCTTTCTTTATAGCCTGCTCCTCTGCATCTCACCCGCAGCCTCTGTATCGCGTGGCAGTAGGTGCGCACGAACTGCGCCTCCGAGGGAATGCCAGCAGGCAGCGCAAGGCATGGCAACCAACCAGCCTCCCCATGCAGTAAGCACGCACAAGCATGGCCAGCTCATACCATTTTTGAGGCGCCTCAAAAATCCTCCCCATGCAGTAAGCACGCACAAGCATGGCCAGCTCATACCTGCAGGCGCTGTATCTCGTGGCAGTAGGTGCGCACGAACTGCGCCTCTGAGGGAATGCCAGCAGGCAACGGTCCTGCTGCCGGCCCCCCTGGCAGCTGGGTGATGCCCAGAGATGGCAGCATGGCTCCTGGCTGGGATGGCGGCAGGTGGTACGGCTGGGGAGGGCGATGTTGAGAAGACAGGAGAAGGGAGATGGGACAAGGTGAGTGTGAAGGAAGGTGCCCCCTGGCAGCTAAGTGATGCCCAGAGATGGCAGCATGGCTCCTGGCTGGGATGGCGGCAGGTGGTACGGCTGGGGAGGGCGATGTTGAGAAGACAGGAGAAGGGAGATGGGACAAGGTGAGTGTGAAGGAAGGTGCCCCCTGGCAGCTAAGTGATGCCCAGAGATGGCAGCATGGCTCCTGGCTGGGATGGCGGCAGGCGGTACGGCTGGGGAGGGCGATGTTGAGAAGACAGGAGAAGGGAGATGGGACAAGGTGAGTGTGAAGGAAGGTGCCCCCTGGCAGCTAAGTGATGCCCAGAGATGGCAGCATGGCTCCTGGCTGGGATGGCGGCAGGTGGTACGGCTGGGGAGGGCGATGTTGAGAAGACAGGAGAAGGGAGATGGGACAAGGTGAGTGTGAAGGAAGGTGCCCCCTGGCAGCTAAGTGATGCCCAGAGATGGCAGCATGGCTCCTGGCTGGGATGGCGGCAGGTGGTACGGCTGGGGAGATGGGAGGGTGGAGAGCGAAGAAGCAAAAAAAAAAAAAAAACAGAACATATACATATATAACTTATGATATGGTTTAGAAGGGGAGTCAGTGTAGTGTAGCTGCAATGACTTGAGGGAGCTCAGTGGTAGCCTGCTTGCTGTGAGCACCGAGCAGCATCAGACCATTCTGTACTTACATACACGTATGTTGCGCACAGATAGCTCCAACTTGAAAGGCAAAGGCAAGCTCACAAGGCAGCAGTAGGCAACATCAGACATCTGGTTGCCCAGCGTGGATAGCTCCCAGTCGACATTGCAACCGACTCAAAATTCTCAAAACCTGAGGCGAACTTACGAGGCAAACCCTCGACTCAGCTTCCTCACAACTGAGGCGAACTCACAAGGCAGCAGTAGGCGACATCAGACATCTGGTTTCCAAGCGTGGATAGCTCCCAGTCCAGCACAGCCACCACCCGCGGCTGGCAGGCGGGAGAAAAGAAAGGCACAAAGAGAATGCGAGAGAGGTTGAAAACGGAAGTGCAAGGCGAGGTGATGAAGGATGATGCCGTCAAGCGTACAGCAAGCTAACAGCAAGGGTGAAAAGGATTAGTGCGGGGGGGAAGGAGAGGTTGGGGACGGGGAGCGGAGGGGCTCATCTCATGGGGAGAAAGTAGCCCTAACTCTACCCTCACCTCCGTGGGATGAAACACGAGGTTATCCAGGCGAAAGTCCCCATGCACCACGCCATCTTCCCCCCCAGGCACAATCGCCCTCAGCCACGCAATGAGCCCCCTCATCCTCATATCCTCCTCCCTAAACTCTTCCCCTATGAATTTCACTGACGCCTCGTACTGCTTTGCCTCACCTCTGTGGGATGAAACACGAGGTCATCGAGTCGAAAGTCCCCATGCACCACGCCTCGCATCACCCCTTCCGCTGCTGCATCTTCCCCACGCACATTCGCCCTCAGCCACGCAATCAGCCCCCTCATTCTCACCTCTATGGGATGAAACACGAGGTTATCCAGTCGAAAGTCCCCATATACCACGCCTCGCATCACCCCTTCCGCTGCTGCATCTTCCCCACGCACATTCGCCCTCAGCCACGCAACCAGCCCCCTCATCCTCTCATCCTCCTCCCTAAACTCTTCCCCTATGTATTTCACTGACGCCTCGTACTGCTTTGCCTCACCTCTGTGGGATGAAACACGAGGTTATCGAGTCGAAAGTCCCCATGCACCACGCCTCGCATCACCCCTTCCGCTGCTGCATCTTCCCCACGCACATTCGCCCTCAGCCACGCAATCAGCCCCCTCATTCTCACCTCTATGGGATGAAACACGAGGTTATCCAGGCGAAAGTCCCCATGCACCACGCCTCGCATCACCCCTTCCGCTGCTGCATCTTCCCCACGCACATTCGCCCTCAGCCACGCAACCAGCCCCCTCATCCTCTCATCCTCCTCCCTAAACTCTTCCCCTATGGATTTCACTGACGCCTCGTACTGCTTTGCCTCACCTCTGTGGGATGAAACACGAGGTTATCGAGTCGAAAGTCCCCATGCACCACGCCTCGCATCACCCCTTCCGCTGCTGCATCTTCCCCACGCACATTCGCCCTCAGCCACGCAATCAGCCCCCTCATTCTCACCTCTATGGGATGAAACACGAGGTTATCCAGTCGAAAGTCCCCATGTACCACGCCTCGCATCACCCCTTCCGCTGCTGCATCTTCCCCACGCACATTCGCCCTCAGCCACGCAACCAGCCCCCTCATCCTCTCATCCTCCTCCCTAAACTCTTCCCCTATGGATTTCACTGACGCCTCGTACTGCTTTGCCTCACCTCTGTGGGATGAAACACGAGGTTATCGAGTCGAAAGTCCCCATGCACCACGCCTCGCATCACCCCTCCGCTGCTGCATCTTCCCCACGCACATTCGCCCTCAGCCACGCAATCAGCCCCCTCATCCTCACCACTGTGGGGTGAAACACGAGGTTATCGAGCCGAAAGTCCCCGTGCACCACCCCTCGCATCACCCCCTCCGCTGCTGCATCTTCCCCACGCACATTCGCCCTCAGCCACGCAATCAGCCCCCTCATCTTCACATCCTCTTCCCTAAACTCCTCCCCTATGGATTTCACAGACGCCTCGTACTGCTTTGCCCACCGCTCCACCTGCCGCCGGCAGTAGCTGTCCGGCCGGCCGAACCCGTCTTTTTGCAGCTGGGGCAGGCGGGCGGAGTGCAGGGCGGCAAGCGTGCCGGCCATCGCGGTGTAGATCTGCGTCCGGACGGCAGGCGGTAGATCCTGGTGGGGTGGATGGGGAAGGAAGAACAAAAGGAAAAGAAAAGGAAGTGAGTGAGATACAGCGAAGGAAGGGTGCAGTAGCTGGTCTTCACATCCTCCTCTCTAAATTCCGCTCCTATAGATTTCACTGATGCCTCGTACTGCTTCGCCCACCGCTCCACCTGCCGCCGGCAGTAGCTGTCTGGGCGGCCGAACCCGACTTTTTGCAGCTGGGGCAGGCGGGCGGAGTGCAGGGCGGCAAGCGGTGTAGATCTGCGTCCGGGCGGCAGGTGGTAGATCCTGTGCCCGAGCGGCAATCGGGTGGATGGAAAAGAAAGGAAAATTGAAAGAATGGAATACAGATGCAGCAAGGGAGGAGAGGAGGGGAGCGGCAAAGCGATCTAGCAGCAGATGAACTGAACTCAGTCAGCCATAACAAAAGGCCAGAAACCACGACTGCGGTACGAAAAAAAAACATAAAACGAACAGAAATTTTCCCGCTATCAACTCAAAGTCCATACATGAGAGTTCTTACAAGAAGGGACACGAACTAGAGGAAATCTAGCTCACAGCAAATTCCATTCCTTTATAAAACCAGCCACAGCAACAGCGGTCTAACGGCGAGGGGCTTACAGGGAGGCAAGGGTCGGTGAAGATGCGGCCAGGGACGAAGTCCATGATGTAAAAGGGCGTGCCTATAACGGAGGGGTCGGTGCAGAGGGCGTGCACTGCCGGCACGAGCACCGCTGCTCCTGCATCCGGTGAGCCCAGCGCTGCCAGCACCTGAGAGAGTGCCAGGAAGAAAGATTGAAATGGAAGTAAGAAACATAGAATGCATGGGTTGAATTGAGTATACTGTAACTACTACAACCTCCTCCCCCACAAATCAAGCTCCAAGGACTGACGAGACGTCTATCTGGACTCTTGGCTCTATGGCTTGGCAACCTCACCTCAGGAGGTGGCTTGGTCCAGGTGGTTTTTTTGGGGGACAAAGGCCGATGGATTGAAACATGGCATGCGAAGAACCTAAGCAGCAGGGTACCTGGAATTCTCGCTCCACGGCATGAGCGGACTTGAGCAGGTGACCAGGCGGTTTCTTCCTTAGCACGAATCTGGCGGGCTGAGAGCCATGCGCGGACGATACTTCCAGGAGATACGTGGGGTTCGACTGCCCGTGACCGAACTGCCATGGGGAGAGAGAGTAAGAGAGAGGTCGGGGAGGAGAATGCACACAGGAAGGTTGAAGGAGATTTACTGAATGTAAAATTTCGTAACTTTCGATCAGGACTCCGTCGAGATTTCCGTGCGAAGCAGGGATGGAGATGAGAGTGATGCACACAAGATCTTTTGTGGGAGAGATGTACGACTGTAAGAGAATGGGGTACATCTCCAACAGGACGAAGAACGCAGGAAGGACGATGGAGGATAGTCGCATGAAACGCCAAGATGACTTTATCCTCCAAGAAGCAGATAAAAATACTTTCAAGCTCTTGTGAGGGATGGCGTTAGCGAATTCGACAAAATGACGAGATTTTAGGAAATGGATGCCTCGCCTGCGAAATCTTCAGCGCTTCGGCATTCGCCGGCACGTTCTTGACGTGCTGCTTGAGGTAGGTGAGCACGGCCGCCTCGTCCAGACGATGCTGGGGGGCCACGGGCACGACAAGCTCGAGGGTGCGCTTCGTCATGTCTTGCCGCGATGAACGTTACTGACTGAGAAAACACGACGGCGCTTCAGAGATGAGAGGAAGAAATACCGTTCACGTTCACATTCCTGAGCTAAATGTCGTGGATTCCGTGCTGCAGATTATGAAGGTGGGATTTCAAGAACTATGGCTATGCAGAAGCTAGGGATATGTCGCATCATATGGAGAAATAACAATGGCTGTTGAACCTCGGGATTTGTGCGGTTTCAACGGGCTCAGTTGCGGTTTGGATCGGTCGCTACGAATTTCCATGGCGAAAACAAGACAGGTGAGCGCGGTCGGATAGCAGGTTCGATGATATTGCCTTGCTGCTGGCCGTCGATTACATTTGCGAGGTTTTGCATTCGCTCTTTCTCCAGCCGAAGCAGGATTCACGAAACATTTTTGGTGTGTTACGAGTCATCAGCATGTTTCGCCCTACTCGCGAAACGACCCCAAGACAAGCCACGACCATCACCCTTGATGACTTCCGTCACACAGAACCACAGCCCAAATTTCGTCACTTGTTTTTCCACCCATTCCTGCTCTCTCCACTCAGGAAAACGCCAGTCCTGCATTTCCTCATGTCCTAGATACGCTATTCCTGCTTTTCCCATTGTACGTTCTAGAACATACACCATTCCCGCTTTTCCGATCCCGCCTCTTCAACACATTCAAGCAGAAGCTCCTGTGGAAATAGCTGACAACGATTTTCTTGTTTTCCGCCTTCCGGACTTTCTCGCATTCGTGTTTTCTGTGTTGAGAGAACAAAGCAACACGCTTCACAGCAGTTCTTATAATGATCGCCGCTACTCGTCTTTCAGAGCCCTTGGACCGATGTTCAGCCATAAAGAATGAAGAAAACAAGGACAAGAAGCCAAAGCGGAAAAGAAGAAGAATGTGGGTCAAGGATAGCGGAGTAAGTTCCTGCCGAAGCCGAGAGCCGCACGCTGCAGCCACACGTATCAGCAAGCGAATAAAGTTTGCTCCATCACGGTTTGGTACATACTACGACGGCATTCGTACTCTTGTGGGGTCAGACTTCCAAGCAGACGTGGAAGACGAGCCTGAGAAACAAATCAATGTGGATGATTTATCACAAAATCCGTTTGAAGGCACAGCGCTCATCGAGCATGAGTTCACAGGCAGCACCAAGAACAATGTCAACGGCAAGATACCTTTGTCTCCAGAAGAGTAAAGTTGGTTCATGGATAAAATTCTTGTGTTGGTTCAGCCATGTGAGTTACCCTATCCAGCAGCGTATATTACTTCCTCCATGGTCTCCAATTCATCCTCCCAGCTTTCGAGTTTGTTTGTCTGTCAATAATAATGCCCATACTTCACACATGATAGGGTACTTGCTTTCAGCCAGACTTGCACGAACGGAATGCGTTCAAGGAAGGTACAGAATTTGGGCACAAACTAAGAGGCAATCTTTAAGAATACTTACGAAGATAATGGTTATAAGTAAATGATTGAGAACTCCCCTGATGGCAAGGGCTAACAGGCACCAGCATGTTTTCTTACTTCATCCTTAGCTTTGTTTCAACAAGTTTATATCGTTTTGTTACAATACCCATAGCGAATCGCACTCAGCTTTCGCCAGTGTTATGAATGAACTTGCAGAGTGCGCAGTAAAACGAATAACGAGAATGAATGAACTACTGAATGACGATACAAGTGTCAAACATATATGCTACATATTGTCTAGGCTGTAGTGGGGTAGCCCATATGGGGTACAGCCCAATTAGGGTTTAGTACTTGTACTCCTGCATGCCACTAGTTCACACATTCCTGCTGCTAGATTCTAACATGGTTTCAGAGCACTAAGGTCCGTAGGACCGTTTTTTTCGGGCCCACCTACCGCTGCGGTTACCGCGCTACCCCACGTACCTGCCTGCCTTGCCTTGCCTTGTGACGTGCTGCACATGCGCTGCCTCCTGCTGCCCTAGGCCAGCGCGCTGCCCCTAGAGGCCCGTAAGGCCCGCGCGCCGCCTCTACACGCCCGTCAGGCCCGCACACAGCCCCTGCAGACCGTTAAGCACACTGCTGCCGCGCGCTGCCCGCACCGAGTCGCGCGCAGCCCGCTGCAGCCGCGCGCAGCCCGCACCGAGCCGCGCGCAGCCCGCTGCAGCCGCGCGCAGCCCGCACCGACCCGCGCGCAGCCCGCTGCAGCCGCGCGCAGCCCGCACCGAGCCGCGCGCAGCTCGCAGCTGCCGCGCGCAGCCCGCGCCGAGCCCACGCAGCCCGCGTCGAGCCGCGCGCGGCCTGCTACGGCCTCGCGAGGCCCGCGCGCGGCCCGCAGCAGCCCGCGCCGAGCCGCGCGCGGCCTGCTACTGCCTCGCACGGCCCGCGCGCGGCCCGCAACAGCCCGCGCCGAGCCGCGCGCGGCCCGCTACTGCCTAGCGCGGCCGCGCGCGGCCTGCATCAGCTCAGCGCGCTGTCAGCGCAGCCCGCGCCGAGCCGCGCGCGGCCCTCTGCCTCGGCCCCGACCTGCCGCTGATGCGGCCCCGCCCTGCAGCTGCCACGGCCCCGACCTGCCGCTGATGCGGCCCCGCCCTGCAGCTTCCACGGCCCCGACCTACCGCTGATGCGACCCCGCCCTGCAGCTGCCACGGCCCCGACCTGCCGCTGAAGCGGCCCCGCCCTGCAGCTGCTTCGGCCCTGCTCTGCAGCCGGTGTTGCGGCCCCGACGTCGCCGCTGTCGAGCGCCGGCCCTGCTCGCCCGGTGAGCGCCTGCTCTCCCAGCCTTTGGTGAGCGACTGCCTGCCTGCCTGACGGCCTGCCTGTCTGCCTGCCTGCCTGGCTGCCTGCCTGCCTGCCTGCCGGCCTGCCTGCCTGCCTGCCTGCGCGCCTGCCTGCCTGCCTACCGGCCTGACTGCCTGCCTGCCGGCCTGCCTGTCTGTCTGCCTGCCTGCCTGCCTGCCTGCCTGTCTGCCTGCCTGCCTTCCTGCCTGCCTGCCTGCCTGCCTGCTTGCCTACCTGCCTGCCACGCCTGCCCTGCCCGCGCTGCTGCTGCTGCTACTGCTACTGGCAGGTGGCCAGATGCAGCTCCAGCGACGTTCACGCGAGCCTCTCACGCCCCAGCAGCTTAGTGAGTGGTATACTAGCTGGGGTTGTCGCGGTAGCCGTCGTAGCTGTCGCCCTGGGGCTGGTCAGTTGGGAGCGTCTAGCAGTGGCCAGCTGCAGCTGCAGGGGCGTCCACGCGAGCCACTTACGCCTCGGCAGCTCCAGGAGTGGTACGCTCAGTGTAGCAGGTCTACCCGTACAGTTCGCTGCCCGTACGTCATTCGCACAGGTGCTAGGACTGGTCAGCCTTGTGGGACGCTTGGTCACACACAGTCCCGCTGCTTCGCCCGTCTGAGCGACGCCTGGCGCACAGTGTTTGGCGACGAGGCTGAGCTCCCCACCTGGCTGGAGCTGCATGGACAGAGGGTAGATATCTTTGCGCTTGACTATGATGCTATTCTCACTGCCATGTATGCCTTGTCTACTAGTGCTGACCGTGCCTGTTACCTGTGCGTACCGCCTGACCCTGGTGAGGCTGCTGCCCTAGGTGCTAGTGCGTCTCCTGCTCTAGGTGCTGGTGAGGCTGCTGCTCTCGGTGCTAGTACGTCTACTGCTCTAGGTACTGGTGAGGCCGTGGCTTCAGGTGCTGGTGAGTCTGCTCTCTCTGGTACTGCGCCCACTGCGGTCTCGCACACCTTCACCCTTGACTCAGGAGCTTCCCGCTCCTTCTTTCGCGACTGCACCGCACTCACGCCGCTCAGTCGGCCAGTCCCGGTCTCCCTGGCGGACCCCTCTGGGGGTCCAGTCATTGCCCACCACTCCACGGTTCTGCCGTGTCCGGCCGTCCCGTCTGGCTTCCTGTCAGGTCTTTACCTCCCCTCGTTCTCTACGAACTTGGTGAGTGGAGCTGACCTCCAGGATGGGGGGGTTCACCAGTTCACTCCTGCGAGTCAGCGAGTGACTCACTGTACGTGTGCTAGGACGGGCCGGCACTTGGCCACGTTCACCCGTGCACCTGGCTCGAGTCTGTACACACTGACCACTGCGTCCCCTCAGGTAGCTGCGTCTGCGTCTACGTCTGGTCAGCAGGCGGCCCCCTGCGAGTGTCGCACGACACTCTCCTGTGGCACCACCGCCTTGGTCACCCCTCCTTGCCTCGCCTGCGTAGCATGCACTCTCGCTCCCTGGTCTCTGGTCTCCCCAGGTCTCTGCCTGCCCTCCCTCCCTCGCCTGCGCCGCCCTGCATTCCTTGCGTCGAGGGGCGGCAGCGCGCCGCTCCTCACTCCTCCTCGTTTCCTCCCACAGAGGCTCCACTGCAGACGCTCCACCTGGACGTGTGGGGCCCAGCCCGCGTCCAGGGACAGGGCCACGAGCGGTACTTCCTGCTGGTTGTCGACGACTACACGCGTTACACCACGGTCTTCCCCTTGCGGAGCAAGGCGGATGTCCCTGCTGTTTTGATCCCCTGGATCCGCGCAGTTCGTCTCCAGCTCCGCGAGCGGTTCCGGTCGGACTTTCCTGTCCTGCGTCTGCACTCTGACAGAGGTGGTGAGTTCTCCTCCAACCTCTTGGCAGCCTACTGTGCGGAGCACGGCATCACCCAGTCGTTCACGCTTCCGGCCTCTCCGCAGCAGAATGGGGTTGCTGAGCGCCGCATTGGCTTAGTCATGGAGGTCGCTCGTACCTCCCTGATCCATGCGGCTGCCCCCCATTTTCTGTGGTCGTTTGCGGTCCGGTACGC